GTCCCTTGTCTCTCACTGAGTTCTCAGTGATGGGGAAGTTTCATTTCAACTGCTTACACTGAGACTCTCTCAGGGCTGTTCTCCCAGGCAGAGTGGAATTTGGAGTGCAGATTAGGAACAAAGGACCTGAGACYAATGTAACCATTCCATACCTTGGTCAAACATGCTCCAGCATAGTGGGGGCGAAGTGCTAAAGTAAATTAATTTTTTGARCTGGCTCCAGAGGGAACTGAAGCTATTCAGGACAGTAAACGGTTGCAAGAATAGGATTTTTCTAGGAGGAAAATGCAGTGTTGATGCCTCAGTAAATAGGAGGTTCAGGTGGCTGTAATCTGCATRGCAATGGTGACTGTTTCTTTAACGGCATGGGATTTGTTTACCTCTTCTTCCTGAAAGGATTTGCTTTGTGAATGCCTTGGGATATGAGGAACATAAAGTAATAGGATATTTGAAAGGCATCTAAATGGGCGGAAGAGTTTCTCAATCCCTTCAGATGAGTACTTGGAAACTCCTTTTAACATCCCTGAGAATTCGCAGGATACCCTTGGAGGGTAATGCTGCCTTTGCAGTTATTGCAAGGGCAGACTGTTGTGATCTGGTACGCTCAGGAACCGTTTGTTTTCTGAGTAATTTCCTGCTGAACTTAGTACTGACCACGCTGGTAGAAAAATGTTAAAATCTAAGCATCAAGAGTCAGTTCCTGGGCTCCCTGTGTTAGGAGCTGCCTATATATATGCTGCCTGGGGGTTGGAGCTGCTTGCATTTGGCAGCTGACTTGTGGGTTGTGTGTGCCCTTGAGGCAAGGACCAGTGTGTCACCTGTAAACCTGTGTGCCTGGCAGTGCAGAAAACAGTACACTGGTGGCTCTTGAAAAGTTTTCCCTTTGTATGAGGAGAGGATCCAAAGCTGATCAAGAGCAGGGAAGGATTTTGGTAATAGCCAGCCCTGATGTTTTTCCACCCAGGCTTGAAAGTTAGTTTATCTTGCTTTACCCATAACCTTTTAAGAGGCATTTGTTGTTTCACCAATAGCATAGCCTTCTGCAGACCAGGCAGCTCTTAGGGGGCCATGGTCCTGGTGTTGCTGCTGTTGTGGTGTTACATGCTCTGTGTCCAAATGCCAACACCCCACTGTTTGGTGTCTGTAGTTGGAACAGTGCACCATTAGATACACCCTGTGAGCGGTGGCTTGGCACTTTTCAACTGTGTCCTCCTGCATTGTGCTCTTTTTGTAGGCGAGTCACAGGTCTCCACATGGACTGTTTCTCCATTTAACTTGTCCTCAAATGACAAAAGTCACTGGTGAGCCTGAGCTGGTGCTGCTYGTGACTCCTAATCACATTTCAGCCTTCATGCTATGATGGTGCTTTTTTTTCCCTTCAAAGTAGGTTGCTTTCAAGTGTCTTAATGAAACCATTTGCTGTAAAATTTCTTCTGAAGATAAAATGGATACTGCCTCACTGCCTAATGTCTTAATAATGTGCTTGGTTTTTTCCTTCTATATGAATGTATATTGCCTCATTAGGGCAGGAAGTGTGTGTGATTATGGATGTGTTTTCCTGTATTCYTTTCAGTGAAAAATTCTACAGTTACCTGTGATTTTTTTTTTTTGCCACTACCAGGATGTTCATGCAGCAAAAATCTTTCTGCAGACAGGTGAGGTTCTTTCTGAAATGTGGGAATTCAGCCTCCCAAGATTTTGTCTTCATGAAATTCCTCTAATRATAGTGTGAAGAGTGATGGGCTCCGAATGACTGTCTACCTTGGAAAGAGGGGTTTGTTTGGTTTCTGGTTTTTTTAACCTGAGCTTTAGGAAAAAACTTTGTGAAACATTTGTGAGCTTTTTTGAAGGGACTGATGTGTGTATGTTTGTGTCCATTTTGCATCATAGTCAGTGTTTTCAAATGGGTATCAAATAAATAAAAATGAATTACTGAAATGATCTGCAGAGTGGGCTGTTGATTTATGCCAATACGTGCAGGTGAGCCAAATGACCAAAAACTGCCACCATCTCATGGCTATTCAGCTGTGAGCTGGATTTGGGAATAAGGAAGTCACAGGCTTAGCAAAAGTTGGGAAACAAATGTTCTTCCAGTTCTGCAAAAGCTGACCTTTACGTTTGTTGGTGTTGAGATGAAACAGAGACCTGCTGGCAGTTCTGGCAGTTCTCAGCATCCTAGAAACTAGGGATATTCTCCCATGGTAGGAGCTTGAATRGGGATCTTTCATCCTATCAATCCATTATCAGTATCTGAGCAGGTTCCCAGCCTATTTGCCCAGGGTCTTGCTTTCCCACTGACACCTGCCCACATAATACACCCAAAACCCCCAAAAGGAACAATCTCTTACTTTAAACTTTTTTCTAAGCCATATTTGGAAAAGACATGGATATTCTCCATGTAGATAGTAGGAAGAGTTGTAGCCTTTGATTCTGTTGGTGTCTTGGGACAGATGCTAAAAGGCAAGATGACTTTTAACGAGTAGAATCACAGGTGCCTTTGAYTGTTCCAGAGCTCTGCTTTGATTTGCCTGGGTGGCACTTCTGTCTGCTGTTCAGTTTCTGTTTGAAGCTAACTTTGCACTGCTAACAACAAGGACCTTCCACCAGGGCTTTAGTTGGATGAGACTGGTGTTTGCAGAAAGATGTCAGACTTCACCRCCCAAGCATGACCAGCTTTGTTAGTTCCAGTGTTGATGGGGACACAAGAAACTTCTGACTGTCCCCAGCTTTTATTTTTTTCTCCTGTTGTGGCTTGCTGTGTTGTCCCTGCAGAGCCAGAGCCATGTCTGGAGTGGCAGCTCCAGTGCTGGGAATGCCAAGGTGCACTGCTGGGGCAGGTACCCATAATGGATAACAGATCTGCAAAGATGTGAGTGAGGATCACACTGCAGTGGTCTCTGGACCCCTCCCTGGCTACCTATGGCCCCTCCTTGCCTAGGGGAAAGGGAAATTGTTTAATACTTCAGGCAYTCTTTCACATCCAGTTTGTGCAGGGTCTGGGGTACTTCAAAGTGGCTGCTGTACAGATTCAATGAGAAGATGATATTTTTGTGGTTAAGGTTTTTGGGAAACTGTTTAAGAACTCTGGAGGACAGGTGTTGGTAGAGGATGGGGATTTAGCAATCAYTTCAAGGTTCTGTATTTGCTGCTGTACTGCAGTGAAAGTCCTTCCCCCATCCCTGTACAGGAAAACGAAAGCCTGGCTGTGCAGCCACCTCCCTCTYTTGCTAAGAAAAGGAAGGAGCTGACAGGCAGGAGTGTGCCTGAGCTGTGAGTGTGTGGGCTGATGACCAGCATTAAGGCATTGACATCTGCATCTAACCAAGTGTTGGAGCAGGAGGAATGYTCTGGCACAGCTGCAGGCTGAAGCTGTTTTTCCTTGGTCTGACAAGCTCTCTCACATGTCACCCTCCYGTGGGAGCCTCAATTTGCAAAACACTACTAACATTGTGCCAGGGATTTTAGGGGTATCCTGTGCATCATCTGGCACAGCCTTGTTTCAGCCAAGTGTGGATCAATATGGATGCCAAGGGGATTCTCCTTTCCCTTTTGACTGAGACCATGTTCAGTATGAATGTGCCTGGTCCCTGATCATCTTCCCTCTCCCTCAGCTGGATCTAGCTGAGGYTTCAGCTCCATGCTTGCACTGGCTGTAGCAAGGGCTGTCAAAGCACAGCTTCTGGATCTTATTTTGGCTTCCTGCTACTAGAGCTATCCAACCAAAGAGCATTTTACCAGGAGAATCTTCCAAAGCTACTAGGAGTAGAAGGAAACCCTGGAAGGAGAGAGTACTGGAGGCAAAGGACAGTTTCCAAAGTGTTGACTGTACTTCAAGTTCTTTGGAGTGAACTGTGCTCCATATAAGTAGCATTATTTTTGTAGATGCTGAGTGGGCACTGAGATGAGTGGGAGCTGTGGGCCTTGAGGACAAAATGTGCATTSCTGGGGAAAGAATCTGCAGTTTAGTAGACTGGATACACCTTTGTGTAGCCATTGATTTGGAGCACCTTTTTAGCTGTGCAAGCTGTAGATTCAGCACATGCTCAGTGTTACTAGGGCCAGTTCAAAGCTGCATGTGGGCACATCCACTCTACTGCTTCAAACTCCTCTTCCTCCCTGTACAGCTGCATATCCTATCTCTGGCTGGTTGGAATGCTGCCTTCTCACTTGATGAGGAAGGATGTGTCCTCACCTTTTGTCCTCTGGGTCACTATTCTCCTTACGCTGTGAATTCGGGTGGAGGGTGAGCAGGAGACTTTCCTTGCTGTGTTTGTTGTCAAGCCCCAGTAGGGGGGRAAAGTCCAGCAGAAACATGGGAGTATAAGGGCTAATTCAGGAGTTCCAGGAGMTCATTGGGCACTACATGGCAAGGCTTTCAAGRGGGAAGAATGTACTRAAAGCAAGTGGATTTCTCTTAGCAYCAAGTGTGGCTGCTGCCTGCACTGGGSTGTTTCTACAGGAGCTCAGCCCCAGCTCTGCTCCTCCCTCCCTGTTTGGCTCAGTCCTCTGCAAAAAACGCTCCCCTTCTGCAATGCCCCCTCTTCCCYGCAACACGAGTTATCCAGCCTCTCCCAGCTTGTGCTTCCTCTCACAATCTGCCTCTTAATGCAGCCAGATGGTCTGAGCTCGCCCACACTCCACACAGGCACCTTCAGCTCCTTGCGCTTGGGGAACGCGCTCGTCTGACCTGCTGCTGGTCAGGGCTGCACCGCCCTTGGGAGAYGGGGAATGTTCGGCTGTTGCAGAGGATGGCTGTGGGAGGTACCCAGGAGCRGCAGCTGTCTTCTGACTGCACCAACAGCCTGCTTACAGCATGACCACATCCCCATGTCTGCATGGACAAATTCCTGATGCTAAAGCTCTGGAGYGTGCTGCTGTGCTTGGGCAACGACGCTGTCCTATGCCGTTTTGTCTCCAGTACTCGGTGCTGGTGTAGGTCCCTGGCCCTGACCTTCTGTCCAGTGCCATTTAATTGCCTTCTGACATAATCTGCACCAATAGCTCAGTTGTTTTCTTTTCACATTTGCATTTATTGGGAACTTTCAGTACATATATGGGTTTTACAAATGATCTGTTACAAGATAACAGTCAACTGTTGCCTTCCCAGTGTTACTCAAGTACTTCCTGTACTGCCAAATGCTTTTGGAGAGCTTTGCCTATCTGGCTGTGAGAGGGAAGTGATTCCAGTTTCTTGCCTTATGTTGTTGTTAAGACATACTGTACCTTAGTGGCATTACCCTGTCTGCATTATGCTGCAGGTTAAGGTTAAACAGTGGTATAAAACTTCCATTTTAATCATGTCAGCTTTAGCTTAAAAGCTACAATCTCCCTTTTTCTTGGAGTTCTGTCTTTTTTCCTTTGAAGTGCTGGATCAAGTGAAGTAGCCCAGACAGGCTTGCACAATACACCCTGAAATATTAAACAACTTGGGAAGTGTTKAAATGACAAGACAATTGAGGCTCATAAACTTGGGATCACTGTGTGATACCAAAATCAAAGCACTGTGTTTGTGAGCTGGCCAGTGCTGCAAGAGAGGCAGTCCCTTGCAAAAGAACCCAGGTTTTAGATTGCTCATATGCAATGCTATGATGTGGATGGATCATTAACAAATATGGTTTGCATAAACAGCCCTTCCCTCTCCTCCTCCCATCCAAACTTCCCTGGCAGTTAGCTAGAAACTGCTCTGGGTGGCCAAGTTCACAGCAGTGGTTAGGGGTCACCTGACAGTCACGTCTGTCTGCCGGCTGGACAAGCTGTCACCCTACAGAGTACTGCCAACAGAAAAGCACCAGGTTACTGTTTAGGGAAAAAAGATACAGTTCAGATCTGTGTTTCCTTGGACAGAGGAGGATTCATGTCAGTGCTGCAGCTCTGCATGTGGAAATGGCCTTGGCCCCAAACACACCCCRTGCTAGGCTTTGGTTATCTGGGCTTCATAGCCACCAGCCAAGACACCCCTACAGAGAACTTGTGGGGTCTCCCCCAWTAAGGACCTTGAGGGGAATGACCCTATGAAGTGCAAAGTGAAACTGTTGGGTAAGCTTATACCTATGCTTTGTTTASAGCAACAGCAACTAACAGGGAATTCCCTCTGGCTGTAAGACCCTCTGCCCTCAGTTGGCCTTCCCCTTGGACTTGTTTCAGTCAGCAGGGAGATAGCACTGAACAGAACTGCTCTTGTTGTCTCCTTCCTGTCTCATTTGACTCTTCTGTCATGTTTGGAAGTTGGGGAGAATTTCAGCAACTCTCCTGCGTAGCTGGTTTCTTCTTTCTTCTCTTTCCCTTTCCTTTTTCATCAGTAACGGGTACTGTCTCCATGCCTTGAATGCGTTCAGTGTAAGTCTCCTTGAAGAAATCAGGGATACAAGGACAAAGTGACAATGTGCAAATGTGTACATAACAYAACAGGCAATCAAAAGAGAACTTCTATTTGAGGGGGAAATTCAAATCTTGAGGATCTGTCCTTTCTGCTATTAGTCAGGGCTATCCCATGTTAAGAATCTACATGCAGACCATTCCACTGATATGTCAATCATGCTGGGGAAAAATAACATACTGCCCTTTTCTATTCCTCTCCACCAAGAACTTTGCTCTTCTCTTTGACAGGATTCATTAGCTGGTGTTTGCTTAGCACTCTAAAGATGAAAGATGTTTTCTGAAAAATAAACAGGGCTTCTGCAAGAAGTTTCCTTAGGAAAAATGCAGGCTCATTTGGTCCAGACCAACCCCTTGGGAGTGAAGGCAGCTGGGTGCCAATTTTTACCTGCTTTTAATCCCATCACAGATGTGTCCTCCCGGGTTCCCCTATGGGCAATAGGGAACAACAGGCCTGTCTAAAGGGTTTGTTATTGCAAGGTCAGAACTGCCTTTCGCCAGTGGGGGAAGAGATAATGAGGAATGACAGGTGATTACGCTTCTAATAGGAGGTCATATTAGAATGAATCCAGTCTCTTCCTGGGTCTGATTTTTCCCTGGTTCCTCCACTTTGCTGGCTTGTTAAATTGTGTACCATTCAGACCTTACTGACACAGCAAGCTAGAACAGGTTTGCTCTACCCCATAAGAGGTGAATTTCATTTAATTCTTCCTCCAGGGTGTGCAGATCCCATAGTAGCTATGTGCAGGCACAGCCTATTCATGACTACATGCAGCTACAGTGCTTCCATGGTAAGGCAGGTGAACATACTTCTGTTTTCTGCTGAACTTTCCCAGTAGTTTTTTTCTTCCTGATAGAATGCATTTTATGGGACAAGGAGTGGACTGGGTGTGTCCAGCTCCAGTTATGACTGGTAGAACTGACTTCTCTAGTTTTTGCTGCCAAGTCAGGCTGGTGATGGCATAAATGTAAAGACTCCTTAAGTAGGATTTCTAGTTGATGAAATTTGGATTTGTGAACTAAATCATCTGCTGTGGACAAAAAAGTACTATGTAATTCCTACACAATCATTTGGCTTTCTATACTTAAAGATTTTCCTAAGGCAGCTTTTAGCAGAAGCTGCATGACCAGATCTGTTAATCAGCTTAGAAAGTTTCAGCTACTTATCCTTACTTAGGCTTTGACTGTATTTTTTTTTTTTTAGATTTAGAAGTCCTGTGAAGGGTGCATAGCATAAACTTAGCATAAACCTCTGCTGATGCTAAACCTTAGCATAAACCATAGAAGCAAAACATCAGCAGTATAGAACCTGTTTCATGTGTTCCTGGGGAGCAGCTGACCTGTCAAAAGTAGTCCCTACAACAATCAACATGGTATATTAAACTGAAGTAAAAAGAACTGATTGTAAGGACATATACTTACTTGTTACTGTGTTCAGTAGCAACTTTCAGCTTTTCCTCTAAAGCCCTTTTTTCCTCCATGACATGATTACACCATACCCAGAAGTACTTCCTTATGAGGCAGACTGTGTGAACGGTACTTGCTCTCTCCTCCTGAGTGGAGAGATAATCCATGTACTGGGGAGGAGGACAAACAAACAAATAGGTAAGAATGGCTTTTTTTTTTTTTTCTTTCAACCTCTGGCCTAATAAATAGAAACAGAGCAGTGCTGAGACTGTGGCAGTGAAGGGTAGTGGGCACAGGAGTGGAGCAAAATCAGCAGGGAGCAGGGTGAGAGAGTGGACAATGGAGGAAGAGTGTGTAGGAGAAAGTTCTGTGTGGAAGAGAGTGATGGAGAGTGARGAGCTGAGAGAAGGTCTCTGAAGAAGAGAATAATGTTGGTGRAATGGGGATAGCATAACTCTACAGAGGTTGTGCTACAGGTGACTGAATTGGCACGGTGGTGAGGGGAAAGCATGGCAGCAACCAGCTCTTTTGGTATCATTTCTCCACTGTGGTGCAGGCCAACCTTTAGCCAGTTCCTGAAGCCCCATCTCAGTAAAATATGGGAATAGAGGTCCTCAGCCTGAGAYATCTTCTCCCTGAGACTCTGCTGGGCGTTCTGCAGCCAAATCATCAGGCATTTCCTCTGCAGGCCCAAGTTGTGGTGCCTTTGTGCCACCTGAATGAAGACAGAAGAGACAGCAGCTGTTTACGTGAACTGGTGACTACCTAAGTATAAAGCCACAGAAAACTGGGTGCACTAGAAAATCCTCTCAGCTTTTTGGGGCCCCCCAAATCCAGATTTCTGACAGCTGGAATAAATTACGGGATCCCACAAAGAGGGGTTGGCAGAAGGAACAAGACCAGTCTCTCTACTAGGCCACTGCTRCAKTTTGARTGAGAAGCTCAGTTTAACTGMCTGTGAATGGGGCAGAGGTATGGACTGTAACAGCTTAGTCCAACCATGTCCATAATGCTGACCAGCAGGGTGGACATACGGAACAGCTTGTATTTGTCTACTTCTTCCCAGCTGGAGGCCTGTGTGCATTTGGTGAAGTGCTGTGAGTAGCTGCAGTTCCAGTGATTTAAATGGAAGCTTTCCAACTTAGCCCTGGGCTCTGGCTAGATCTTCAGGATATGGCTGAGTGTTATCAGTCTCCCTGTGATAAGGGATGCCAACTCAGTCACGTGTGGAAATGTTTCATTAGCAATATTCCTGCATCAAGGTCTCGGAAGCTGCCACTTGCTGTTCTGCACTGAGGATAGGGCCAGGACAGAATAGATTGTTGGATTATCACCTATACTGTCCTGCCATTAGCAATGGCCAACTCTGTACCAGTATCTCTGGAGAGAGGGAAAGCCCTGATGATAGGCTGGGGTTAAMTCCTGCAGCTCAAGTTGCTTGGCGGTATCTGACTGATTAGCTTTGCTGTGGAGTAAGAGAACTGGCAGGCACATGTCATATAACTTTGATTTTTTTTTGTTTAATCCTGTTTAATCAGCTATAAATGAGGATGCCATCCCTGCGGGTTTTTAATGGCTTTTCATGATTATTGTCAGATGGGCTGATTTAAAGAACTCATATAGTGCAGGGTATGCAAGGAGAATTTTTGCTTTTCCATCTCTACCTGGACTAAAAGCCTGTTAAGGCTACTGCTAARTGCTGCATCTATTCTTTCTCCCTTCCTCCTATGGCACCAGTCATTTCCTTTACCCTCAGCACTTACCACCAGGTTTTCTTTGGCTTGCTGCCTCAGCCTTTTCCATGGTACTATTCCCAGCTTTCTGAGAAGGACCTTCTCATAGTGATCTCTAGCCTTTTTCAGGAGCTGCTGCTCTTTCTCCAGCCTCSTCTGCTTCTCCAGTTCTTTCTGCAATACAAAAAGCATTATTAATTCCCTCAGGATGAAGAGGATGTTAAGCAATGAGAATAGATTATCATATTGGAGCTGGAGGTTCTGACCTGACAAGAAACAGGGATCTGCATCATCTTTAGCACTGCAGACCAGACATGGCCCCACACAATAGAACCTGTGTTCTAAAGCAAACTGTTTTGAAAAATTTCCTGGGAGATGATGGTATTCCTGAAGATTCCCTTGGGCTGTGCCTCAGCACTGCAGTTTGGTGTTACTAGCAGACATGCCATCTGTGGCTACCACAAGTGCTGATACAGCAGGAACCTCCTTTSATGTCCAAAATGTGCCCAAAAACTATTCTGAGTTTATGCATGGACCCTAACACTTAATCTAGCCTAAAGAATAGGGGAGGGATGTGGGTATTACATAACTGTATAATATTACTTTTGACTGCTATTCAGGTATGAAGGTCAAACACTCTAAAACACTCAAGTAGAACAGTTGTAGATTGAATTCCTGTAGGATTTCAAATGTGCTATTTGGGTTATTAGGACAGCTCATTTCCAAGTAACAATAATGAAGTGCAGCTAYTCCTAGGTTAGCTCCAAGAAGAGGATGCTTCTATTCTTCAGGTRGAAAGCTGCCCTTGCTATAACTGTCAGGTTTGCTTACTTTGGAATCATGTGTTTGTGACCAGTATCGCTGTGTACATTGGAGGGGTGACGAGAGTGGAAGGAGTCTGAGAGCAGACTGAACAGGCTGCCATTGTTGGGGGCTTATGTAGCTGTATCTCAGCAGAGAATGTCCAGCAGCTGGGACCTCTAGTCCTGCTGAGGGRACAGACAGAATATACCTCATGGCATGTTTGGGACACAGCCTTTCCCGTAACATTGCCACAAAGGCAATGAGTCTGCATTGTGGGTGCTGTGCTGTGGAACTCTGCTCTACCAGTGAAGACCTTCAGTTCACATTATTTTGGCTGCTGACTGAGTAYCAGTGAGTAATGGCTCCTCTTCCCTATCCCTGCTAAAGGGGAAGAAACAGGTAAGGGATTTGGTCACCAGCTTCTGCTGCCTTCTCTCCTCCCGGCGTTTTTCCCGCTGTGCTTCCTTTTCCTCAGCCTCCTTCCTCTGTAGTGCTTCCTCTTCAGCCTTCATCTGGGCCTTGAAATGGAGATAGGYGAAATTTAATTTCATTCGTGTGACCCTTTCCATGAACACACATCTTTAAACTTTCCTAGTATTCCTCTAGTACTGATCAGCACCTGAAACTTCAGAAGGAAGCAGACYTTGTCACATACCAGACATGATCTCTGCTCAACAGTGAACTGTGGAAGGGACAGGAAKGAGAGACTGTCCTTTATACTATTTATATACATATCTATATCTATCTATTTTYCTATGTATGTAAATGTTTATCTTTCTTAGCCCTAAGTTACAGTATTTGTCCACTCTTCCTCTAAAAAAATGTAAACCATACACCAAGTCATTTATTGAGAACTTGATTACTGAAATCTGAATTCCTRGGCTCTGCTCTCAAGTTTCATTTCTACATACAAAGCAGCATTAGGTACCCAAACATTTCATTCCCCAAACACTGAAGATCATACTTTCTAATCCTAATGCAACTTACTAGCAATGTTCTCAGTAACAGTTTAATATCTGAAGTGAAGAAGGTGCCTCTGTTGGTTGTGTATCACAGAATTTGTGGATTAACTMTACAAACATTGTCAGTATCYTCCCTCTTCMGCAGAGATTTGYTAGAAAGATGCAGATTTTTACCAAGCGAGACTGCATGTACTCAAGCTGCACATGACCAGAGGGGAAAGGTACGGAGGGGAACCTCACCACTGCCAGGTCCCATCAAGTGAATGTCTATGTGCATTTCCACCCTTCTYGGCAAAGACAAGCTACAGTCATCGGGTAGGTGTGAAAAAGGTGTTGGAGGGTGGTAAGGGAGGCTGCTTCTAGAACTGCAACTGCAAGATGAAGTGTCTGCCTATGATACATAGCAGGGCTGCTGCTGCAAATGCAGCAGTAACCACTTTTGGTATGTGATAGACATTTGCTTTCCCACAAGTCATAAAAACTCCTGCTTTGGATAAAGGGCCTTTTCTTGGTCCCTGAYTCTGGGGTTAAATCAAGTGTTTCTTTTTACTGGAATGATGTCAAAGACACTTTATATCATTTTCAGCTTCCCTTACCAATTTTTCCTCTGCTTTTCKTTGTTTGGCTTCTTCTAGTTTCCTCTTCTGTTCTGCCCGGTGAATGGCTCTCTCTTCCATCCCTACAGAATCAGGACATAAGGCTTAGTGGAAATGAGCTGTGGTGTAAAGGCAGAAGTTTGGTRAACATGGATGCATCACTCTGTGCCAGGCCCCCACTGCCCTGCCAATACCAACACAGAGGGACTTCCTTTGTGTGGCCTCTTTTGGCCAGCAGTGTCATGAACAAGGCACCTGTAAAGGTTTTTGAGATGAATCAGGACCATGACAATTACATTCACTCCACCCTCCTTACTTGACAGCCACAGCCACAGGCTCAGTTATGAAAGAAGCTGTGTTCAGAGGGTTTGTCCCTGCCTTTCCTGAGGCTCTGGGCACACAATTTAGCAGCAATTGCTCTGAGGTCTCCAGTAAGCTCTAACTGCTTATTTAAAAGCCATTTTATGACAGACAACCTCATTGTCACAATGACATACAGGTACTTGGTCCCACTAGTAACAAACTACTGCTTAATGCTGGTTTTGGAAGATAAATTGCAATGCAGTGATCTTGCTGGCCATCAGCAAAGGTGTTACACACACAACATGCAGAGGAGYTGGGAACCTGTGCTTGCATCTTCTGCAATTGCAAACAAAGCACAAGCTGGAGCAATCAATAACTGGGAAGCATTGAAGTGTTTTGAACACAGTAGGTTTCCTCTGATTCTTTTCTCTTCCCAGCTATCCCAGGATTCTCTGTCAAGGGAAAACCATCCAGTGATAACTTCTTCACTGAATTTTCTGGGGATCTTTAAACACAAGCACTTGAATGCTCTGCCAAATATGCTTGCTGTCTCTAAGGTATACAGCGTTTAGGGAAATCAGGGTAAATTCCTAGGCTCTGCTTGGGAACTAGTTCAGGGCTTGAACTAGGCAGTATTGAAGCTGAACACAGGTAGTGACAGGCAACTATTAATGTTCAACTCACAGTCAAAAAGGTCTGGTGATCCCAAAACTATTGAAACATCACAATCATTTAATTCCAGACAACCATTCATGCAGACTGTCACTACCTGCATTGATTGAGAAGAACTTGACTATGGGATATAACAGAACTTGTTCCTAATTCACTGATGAAAAGGCTGTATTGCATGTTTATTGTGGATGTACTGTTCCAGTGTGGCCAGAGAAGGGGAGAKATCTCACAAAAGGCAGGGATCTGGAGCTCCTTCCCCAGCCTGGCTACTGTTGTTTCACAAAACTTTGGCTAGGCACTTAATTTCCTTTGAAATCTCAACACCTCTGTCAAAGTTGGATGAAAATGTCTGGCTAGTTTAAGGATTACTTGGATGCATGATGAAGGGAATGAGACTAATGGCAAAAAACCCTATACAGCTTCTCTCTCTGAGTCTTGTCAAAGCAGAGACAACCAGAGGTGTTAGGAGTAACTGCCACAACAGTGTACTAAGTGTGGACACGAGGGGTTTGCAGTGTCCCAGTTTTACAGATGCCTGACTCGGGCAGGAAAACTGCTCACCCTCTCACAGCACTGGTCAGGTTGAGAGAGAGAGTGTGGAATTTTACTTGTGTAAGATCATCAACCAGCAAAGCTAAGGCAAAGAGARACATTTCCAGACAAGCTGTTGAGGAAAGTGGTCTGAAATGGTCTTTGCTAWCCAGAACAATACCTTTCAGTATGGGATGAGGTGTGGTCAGCTGGCTGGAGGGTCTTTTGCCTGGCACTGCTGCCCGTGTGTTTTCTGGTCCATGAGAATCAGGCAGGCTGTGAAAGAAAAGAGTAAGGAAAGTCTTCAGTGAATGTGGTCAAACTGTGTCTCACACCTACCACCTATGGCCTTGTAGTTTCTGTTCTCCATTGTGCTCCATTATCCCTGATGCACCTTTCTTCTGCTTGAAATGGGACTGATGCATCCTTGCAAAGAAACCGAGTTCCAGGGCTGCAGCATGGTCTGAAATATGGAGGATGATGCTCTTTTTTTTTCATGACTAAATAGATGCCTTCTGCTACTATAGGTGACACTGGTGTGGCTGTTTCTAAGTGGATCCTGTGTGGATCACCTGGTATCAAGCCACTGCAAAAAGGGAGAAGAGAGAACTGYGGCCAGTCTGATACTTGCCTTGAGGCTAATTCACAGGTGAGAGGAACAGCAGATAGCACCAGCACGACTGAAACGTGCCTGGCAAATTCTGGCTCAATTTGAGTGGGAATGAGACACAATGACTAACTGACACTGCTTTATTGAGGGCATGTACCTCAAAGGGGTTGTATTTTTGCATCTGGATTGTTTTTCCTCCCTGGCTTGAGAAACAGAATTGTTAAACGTCTGGGTTAGAGTTGTAGCTTGTGCTGCCTCTTCTTTATCTCTGCTCAGCTTCTGATTTTCCTGCAGTTTAAGGATCAGCTCTTGCTGTTTCTGAAGCTGCTGCCTCTGCTCCTCAATCACACGCTGCTGGAAGGCGTGACGGTGCTCAAAACAGCTACCATAAGCAGGAGATGTCTTTGGTCCAGGTGCCTGAAACTGCTGCAGGACAGTGGCTATTTGATTCCTRTGCACAGCCTGGTCCTGGGCACTCAGGGCTGCAGGTTTTATGGTAATCTCCCAGGCAACTTTAGGGTTTCTGCAGAAATGAGATGTGTGRACATCCCCACAAGACTGGTCTCTGGTCTGATCAGGCTCTTTCTGTATGAGGCAAGTTTCAGTTGGCTAGGGAAAAGAAAAAGAAATGAGGAAAATTTGGCATTGGTTAAATCTAAGCACTCTTGTGGCCTTCCTGCATAGTGTTTTTTTAATGCAAATCTAGTGAGATGCCTGAGAAGTAGGGTAATCTCAGTATGCAATCTTTATCCAGTCAGGCCAGAGGGGCCCCATTAGGCAYAAAATGGGAGGCTGTGGGAAAGAACTCTTAAGGAGCTGAGTGGCATTTCACCAGGAGGACAAAATCCTGATCAGGAAGAGCTCTGGCAGGAATACATCCTGACTATTTTGTTAGGGAGCACATCTTAGGACAGACAGCTCATTTCTCCGGGATTAGCACATTCCCTTTTGGACTGTGTTGTCCCCTCAGAGCTCAGATGGAGAATAAAATTAAAAACAGTTCTTGAAGTGATCTACACAGCTGATCTGCTGAACGGTCCCCTTTTAGATGGAAGCCTACAAGGTGCTGCTTCCTCGTGCCTCTTTTGCAGCTTTGATATATGTTACCATGAAACAGGTGAACAGCGGGGAATGAGGCTGCACCTTTTCTGACACATGGTTATTTTCTGAAGAGGCATCAGTTACAATGTCTGCTTTCTGATTCCTAGGTCAAAGCCTAAATTTAGTCCCATTCCTCCAGCACAAAYTCTACCAGTGCAGCGGAAGAAAAACATGGACCTACTAGGATAGTATAAGCACTGAAAGAAATCAACTTTTGCTTCCACTTAAGCAAACAGAAAGCTTGACCTGTAATATGTGTGTGTGAGCTCTAGTACTGACATCAGGATACTGCTGTGGTACAGGTTTTATAGACACAAAGGAAGCTMAGGATCCAACCTGATAAATTACAATTTAAGGAAGCAACCTCCAATTCTCCTCTCTTACTTCTTTGTGATGYGCATTATCCTGAAACAGCCAGTGACAGCCTTTTTTTTTCCCCCATTCTTAAAAGCTGGAGAGCTGCACTGGCATGAAAAATATCTCTTGTCATGCAGTCAAGTTATTCTTTTTAAGTCTAAGCTGSCATCAAAGATGTAACTAATCTCTCAGTAAAAGTGATCTGGGGGTGGGACGCTCACTGCGACTCTGAGTACATGAAGGGTTGTTCTTTGGCAACGCTAGAGATTATTTTTARAACTCATCCATTGTCCTTCACATTTGCCTCTGAKTTTTTGAATTCTCTCCTRAACAGTTGCAGCAGGTATTTGGGGSTCACCCTGGRAAAGAAGCTTTCCTCTGKSACAGTGTACTCTTTATTTCAGACTACATAAAGTAAGTATTTTCTAAGAGTACTGAGATGCCAACAGGTGAAACTACGTGGCAAGGATTTACCTTGTCTTGCTGTAAATCTTGATGATGGTTTAGTTTTGCTGTCCCAGGCTTGTTAACCTCCGGTGGCCTGTCCCCACCTTTCCCCAGTAACACAGCCTCCAGCAGCTGTTCCATCTTTCTCTTTGTCTGCTCCCTCTTGATCTGCAGCTCTCGCTTTTCCGTCTCYGCTCGGCTCCAGTGCTGCCAGGCCAGAAAGCAGCAGCGCAGGAGCCGTCGCTGGTCATGCTCCACAGCCAGTTGGGTTTTCCTGAATGAGAAAACATTTGTGTTATGGCAGGAGTGAGGCTTCTGCCAAGGCACGAAGCCACATCGTCCCATCATTTCCTGAGCCTTTTCGTTGATTAATTCTGAAGGCCTTCTGAAGCTGTACAGAGCTCTTCTAAGGAGTGGGAGGGCAGAAAGGATGCCTTCTATTCTGAATTCAGTTTCCCTAGTTCACATTTTGCAATTTCYTGTGTCATCTCTGGGATGCAGGATATTTGCAAAAGAGGTATCRTGTTCCCTGGCCAGCTGCACATGGSRAAGTGACAGTGTGTCACTACTGCAGTCTGCCAGACACCTGCAAGAGCAGTATTTCCTCTGGATGATAGGGAATTCATCCAACAGCCTCCTTACTGAAAGGCACTGGCCAAAACCATCTCTGCTATGCTTCCACTGAAACAGCAAATACATTAATCAGGAATAAATTTGGCAACTCMTATTCTCTGGAGTCCAGAGCAAGCCAGGGTGAGATTTCTAGGAAAAATACCTACAGAGAGACTGAGATACAGGCTTGTTGGAAAGTGCTAAAGCTCTTGTTTATATCTATCTTCCTTTTCATCTGTGCCCTAACGCCTCTGGCAGACTGCAGGCAGTGTAGCAATTTTCTCAAAAAGCTGCTGTTTYCCTCCTGCTGGATAACTGACAAGCTCCTTTCACAGTCCCTGATCACTGCTCTGCCCAAGTAGGGCTGCRGTAGGAGGAATTCCATAGTAGAGGGTCACTACCTGTTTTGATCTTGGAGATGAAATTCCCATTGCTGTGTCTCCTGCTCTACTTTCTGGGCCCAGGTATAGTTTCTCCAAGCTCGCAGGGCCTTTAGTTGACATCTCCAGTCAGCAAGGGCTCTGGCTTTTCCCATTTTAATTCTTTGCTCCAAAATGACTTTCAGCCAAGCAGAGAAATGTCGTTGCAAGCACTGCATGGGAGAGTTTTAGAAAACCAATGAGCAAGAYACAGCCTGTCACAAAAATACAGATCCTCTCCACCCTTTGCCTATTCTGACTTTCCTTTTCGAGATTCTTTTTAGAATCCTAATTTTCAACAATTACCTTGGGGTTTAAAAAAAAAAAAGTAATGCAGAGCATGTGTGCAGATCTTCTAGAAAAAGCAGAAAGTGTCTAGAAAGAGACTTCWTATCATGGGGCTCTATGCTTTGGAGTGAAATGCCCTTAGTTCACTAAGTGTAAAGGCATGAAATGGGTGARGAACATAGAATTTCTAGAGACAGGAAAAATATTTTCAAATCTAGAAATGTCTAAGATGCTACAGGTAAGCACRTATCTGTGAAGAAGTGCTGCTTTTTAATTTTTTTTAACTTAGACAAAAATCAAGACACTTCTAGAGTGAATTTATGACACGGTTTCAGCTTATTCTTGTTCCAGTAGGAAGCCAAACCTTTCCCCTATTGTGTAATTATGCTCGCTGCCTTTGGGAGTAATTTACATTGTACAGAGCAGCAATTTGCTATCTAATCTAGCCCGTAATTCTAGCCCTGTCACTGCAGATACTGATCATTTTGATCCTCCATGTGGGTCGGGTCAACTCACAGGACTCTGCTGTTTCCCTTTTGTCAGAGTGTCTTGTGTTAATTGCGTTCCTCTCTCACTGAAATCTTCAAATGGAGACTTACAAAACGTCAATGCATTAGCTATTTCTTTCTGCTTTAGGAAAGTAATCAAAGTGTCACTATTGCTTAGCTCAGCCAAGCTGTGGCTTCTTACAGTACACCAGTCCTGAATTGTTCTGTAGTTTCATTCAGGCATATCTTCACAGCTTAGACAGTGCTGGAGAGAGGTTGTGTACTGCTAAACAGCAGCCAAGCTCATATCCAGCAGATGGATTGAGCTGTGAGGAGAATTACCACAAAAGCTGTGGGATTCTTCTGCTGAAAAAACCCTAACTGTAGATATATAGACATCAACGATGATGACTGCTCTATTAATTAAAAAAATTATGTGATAGATRGCATTCATACCTGCACTCAGGAAATTTATTCCTTTTCCTGAAACTGCACATATAAAATCATGCAGTACTGAAAGATCATTCTTTAGTTGCAAGTATTTGATACGTGTTTAACCCAGACCATAGTACCAGAATAAAAAAAAGGTAAAACAAAGAGGTTCCTATTAGGAATTATTGACATTTATTTATCTCAAAAGAGCTGTTGCAGTAACACAGAATATCCTATTGTACCCAGTGGAAGGGGATCCTTGTGGAACCTGTTACTGTGGATGTGCTGGCATGCATTAACTCTCAGAGACACAGCTCAAAATTCATCCCAGGTTGCAGCATTTCTCCTTCCTTGTTCCTGAACTAGGGTCTGCAAGGCAATCTTTAAAATGCCTTCCYCCACACACAATTAGGGCTTCTCACGCTTTTTTTCTGCCACTTTCCCCTTTTACTTCCTTTCTTAAGGGAAAACAAACCTCACTCCACTGCCTCCTCTGTACATCTCCTTATTTCTTGATTGCAGAAGTCTTTATGTTCTCATCTGTCTTGAGAGACACATCTTTTCCACAATTCTAAGTGAAATGTCCCACTGAGTACATGTGAGGCACAGGCCCAGTGGGGYTGGCACCTCAGGATTTCTTGCTCCCAGTCTTACAAGATACTTTTTGCCCTTGCTCTCCTACTTTCCTGGTATCAGGAAGTCTTGGAAAAAGTAAAAACTTCTGCATGACCAGGACTTTTTACTTCAGTTTTGCAAATGGTAGCCAAGGGCAGGTAGCTGAGTCTCAAATAAAAAAGGTGATGATACTCACTCTCTGCTCACTGGTGTGAATCCTGCGCAGCAGCTCCTGAGTCTTTCTCTGTTTCTCCTCTCCTTGTTCTTCACTCTTCAGAACTAGGGATGGTGACACAGTAACAGAYACCTCCTGCACTGACAGCTTCTCATTTTTTTCTTGTCTCTTCCCCTCCCTGAAAAGTGAACAAACACACAGATCTAAGATAATGATATATAATCTCATACCTTCTCTTTTTGGCCAATTCTAAGAGAACCACCTCTACAGCTTAGACAGTTGCTGATTATTTTAACTTGCCCTTCTTAAAAACCGCCTCTGTAATGGTTTGGGGTCCCAGAGATTAAACAGTCCGGAGCATTTTCTAAATATAGAAGCCAGAAGAAAGTAGTAAACAATTTCACTAAATATTTCATTAAAGCACTTGTATGAGAGTATTTAGGATCTCAGGGCTGCCTAAGTAAATAAATGGTGCCCCTAGAAGTGACATCTCTGTGACAATCCAAGGTTGGCAAAAGAAAAAAATTATGTCTCTGCAGAATTCTCAGCCAAGAATGCTCTTTATCCTTTCCTAAAAAGCAAAGTATTGCAAGTGCTGGATTTTCAACACAGACTATGGGGTTTTTTTGGTTTTTTTTTTTGTGTATTGGCTTTCATGTGGTATTAGATGCTCACAAGGCTGGATGCAGCAAGAGAGCTGATGGAGAGAATGCACAGTGGTGCAAGCACACTCCTACTTTGTGATTCAGTGCACATACTGTAATGGCTGAGGTGAGGRTAACACTACTCTTAGCCCACCCTCCCACTCATTAAAAACTCTGCCACTGATGTTGGTAACAAAGGACTAAAATGTTTTGGGAGAGTTCAGACACAATAATAGCTTTTTTTTTTGTGATCAGCACTGGTCTTACATTTAAAAAATGGACCGGTAAGTGGTTTTTGTATCTCTCCACGCCCCGCCCCTTTCTTACATTCTCCAAACCTTTGCCATGGCATGCTTCTTCTCACTCATGTCCTTTCGCAGCTTCACCATTTCCCTCTGGATCTCCTCCTCCTCCTTTTTAGCCTGCAGGGCCTTCTTTCTATCCTCCTCCTGTGCTCGGAGCCTGGCCGCAGAGAGAATTGCTTTCTTCAGGGACTCTTCTTGTCTCTGAAGCTCTAAAGCCTTCTGATGTCTCATTCTGTTTTCTTTCACCTGGGAAGGAGGAAATCAGCAAAAGTCAAGGCAAACATCAAAGGCTGAAGAATTTGAAGYTCACTGTACACTGCCAGAGTGGGTCACAATCCACCTTTCAGCAATCCATCAATTCAGCAAGAAACCCTATCCATAGCTGGCACTGACTGGAGAGATTCTGCTCTTGACTAGCAAAACACTCCATGTGAGAGAGTGAAATTAAACCAATATTCCTTAACGGGAGCAAACTCAGAACTGACTGCTGTGGCAGCTTTTCCTGTCAATCTTCAAAAAAAGGAGGGAAACCTGAACAGYTTTAGTAAAAGCTGACTGTGCAAGCTATTGCTGAATGGCTAATGTGCATATGGAAATGCAGTAATGTTTCAGCTGAACTGGGAAAGAGCATCTTCGGGTAGTTGCTTCCAAGTCAGAGATTATTGCAGGCTGTGAGAGAATACTGGCRAAGTATCACTGAGCATTTACTCTAATCCTATAATCCTCCATCTTATTCCTTTTAACTGAGCTGCCTTGCCTGCCCACCTGCTTGTGTCTGAGCTCCATGATTATTCGTGGATCTGTACATTTCTTTTTTTCCTTGATCTCTTCAAGTCTAAGTTGTTTTGCTATCCCACGGTTCACAACATCACTCTGCAAAAGATGCTGTAGGTATTTCTGGACAGAAGAACTTTCCATTTCACATTCCAGATARCTGCACAAGTCTGAAATGAGAAATTTAGATTATCTCAGGCTAGTCTGAAATGAATAAACCCTTCTGTCTCAGATCACAAAGCCTAATGTAATTAAAGGGATCACTTCCTCCGACTGTGAATGCATTTCTGATGAACGCAGACACACTGAGTGCACTCCATTTATCCCCAGAGTCTTAATCAAGTCTCCCATTGAACACGCTAGAGCAATAACAATGTTTCATCCATTTTTTACTGTCTTGCCTCTGAGCATCTCAAACGGCTGTATAAACTTGACAGGCCTCAAAAATACCTGTTCATAAAGAAAAAAACATCCTCTTTTACAAACTGAGGCATTGAATGTTTATGAGGTGCATTTATACAGCCCTACAGCAAGATRCTGTAAGAGCTGGGGGACAAAAATGATCACATTTAATCTTCTTTCTACTGAGTCCACTGTCCTGGCCTCAAAACAACTGTTACCTCTCAGTGTAACAAACCATGAGACTTGACCTTCTCCAGCACAGCCCCAGAGAGGATGTCAGGACCAGCTTTGCAGTGCTCTCACCATCAAAGTTCTCATGCTTCGGAGGGGCTGCAGAAGGCTCTTCCCGAAAGAGAGAGTCAACTTCCTCTTCTCCATCACTCAGCTCCAGTTGCAGTTTGGACTTTATCCAGTAACTGAGCAGCTCTTGGGCTATCATGAAGAAAGAGACTGATGATTTCACTTGTGTAAAAAAAACAGATGGGTACATGTAAACTAGCAATACTCTGGGATAATTATATCACTGGCTGGGAATGAACTGAAAGGTAATCTGCAACAGAAAATGGAATAAAGCTAATAGTTCTATTCTCATCTTTTTGATCTACAAAAGAACAGGAAKAGGAGGTGGCAAACGTGTTCCCTGTCACATATACCACAATTTAATTCTTCTCCACCTTATTTTTCCTACCATGATTCTGCATGCATTTAGATCACCTGYGATTATTTTACAGCATTTATCAAGAAGATGGAATTCACATGAKGTATGAGAGATAGCTTTCCTATGCTTTACCACTGCACTTGCAGGCACTTAGATGGTTTCCACATGTACAGCCAAGGTTGTCATATGGTAAATTCAAAGGAATGACTGTTTGGACAAACTTTTGCTTCATGGGTACAGGTTAACCCTTTGCAAGTACCACAGGAAGAACTGGTGAGTCTAATTATAAATCTGTCAGGTGGCAAACTTCACCTGGGACTACCTGTACTCAGGGTTAAAACTGCAACTACAGGCATGCACCCATGACAGATATAGTACTCCTCAGTGAGTTCAAATGTCTAATGAACAACTGGGTATGAAGTCCATCAATGGATGGTTTGCATCTCCATTCTTCTGTGGAAAAATGAAAAAAATTCCCTTTTCAGGGTTCCTTCTCAAAAGCAAGGTCAGCTCGTGTGTCTGGTGCCTCAACAAACCAGCTGGCCTTACTGCATGGGTGGCCAAGCTGCTTCTGAAGCAGGACACAGGGCTGTAAAATGCAAGGCATCAGGAGCTGCCCYACGAGAAGTGGAGCCATCCTCAGCCATCCATGTGGTGAGGATGGACAAAAAGCCAAGATCTCTGCAGCTACTGTAGTGTGAGTCATTACCTGTAAAGGACACAGTCAGTGGACAGGAGCAAGCAGCTGCTCAAAATATCTGCTCCTAACACAAAGTGAAGRTGCTCCCTGGTATTTCTAAGGCAAYAAAACCTTTCTCAAACTGTCTTTAAAAATGGTGCATCTTTTGAAGAAAGCATAAATCCAATATTTGTGGCCCTTCAAATCACTTATTCTCTTTCATAATCTCTCTGGACAGATCAGAAACAGAGAATTGTATCTGATAACAGAAAGAAGTGCAGAAAACAACCTGTCACTTGGAGAAGGATTACATTTTTGACTGGGATTTGTGATCTTSTCATAACTGGTGTAAATGCATTCTGGCACTTATCGATACCTTTCTTTAAACAGTGTAGTTAATACCATAAAGTATTCTAATAATGGATTGCAGGTAGAAKAATTTCAGCTGAGCTAGGAACAATCCTGAGGGACTAGTAGCTGTAAAAAAGAAAATCTTAGCAGAGAAGGGCAAAGAAAAATAATAAAGAAACATGAGGAAAGCAAGCAACCTTCCCAAAGGAAAAGACAAAACTTTTCACCAAAGCAAAGACAGCTCGTTTGGAAAAACAGTGCTGTGTAATGCATTCAYACAGTGCACTGTAAGCATGTAAGTGTATTCCATGCTATTAGTTAAACCCTCAATGATTAAAAGTGAAACAGCTGACTTAATGTATTGAAGGGGATGCTCTTAAGATGTGTCATCGTCCCATTCTGTAATGCTGACTTTGGATTCTTAAAAGAATGGTTAACTCAGTTTCTAAAATCTTGTCTCCTATCAACCTTTTACACTGCAGATCTATTTCTAGCACTGATGGGTGATAACTTCCCTTCTTTTTGTTTTTTAAAGCTATCACAGCTTTACTTTCAAACTGCAGCAAGCACTTTTGGCTGCAGGCTTTACAAAAGAAATATTTAGTTGGCTATTTAGTGAGGAAAATTTTGCATGGGAATCAAAACAAAACCACAGACAGATGTGAAATTATATTTGAAATTTACACAGCAACTCAGTTTGCACATCTAGCCTTCTATCAGAAATACGGCAGGTGGTTTCACCTGGTTTCCTATAGCCCACTAACTTGGTTTTGACCATACAGTGTGTCAAGGGCAGTTCTTATCCTTGTCCTGATCTGGTATCTCCAGGAGACAGTTTATCATTCTCTTAGGTATGCTATTTAAGATCTACCTTGAACTCCAGTAATTGATCCTTCTTATGCTTTTCTCCATTAGATGAAAAACATCTTACTAGGAACTCTTTCTTGTGAATTCAAGCTTTCCAAGAGCCTTTTCAGATCAGAACCACAAAGCTGGACCAAGAACACTTTGTTTTAGGCAGCTTGTGCCAAGCAGAATTTTAGCTCACCTTCCTCATGAGCCTCACGATGATCCTGCAGATATTTTGCAGTTGCCAAACGTGTCACAGGACCCCAAGACCCCTGTGGATACCTTGACTTTTGAAGGGTAAAAGCTTCAGAAACAGCATACTCAGAGGCTTGGTCCACTCTCTTTAAATAAAAGAACGGARAACATTACTAAGGATATTAATTTTTACACTTTCTGTATCCACATTTCTCCTCCAGAGAGAAAACATGAGTGGGAAAGTAACACAAAACAGCGTGGCTGTTATAAGGAATAGATTTCTTCAGGAATGCATTTCTATGACTTCTCAATTGGATAAACTGGACTTAGAAGTCATTAAGCAATAAACACTCATTTGGGAATTAGTGCCAAACAGAGAGAGAGAAGGGAAACACCCATCTCCTGCAGGCTGGATAGAGACTAGCTGAGCTAGTGCCCAGCAACCAGCAACTATGAAATTTGATATCAGCTTTTTGTCATAGCAAGGCTGAGAGACTTCCTGTCCCATATTCACCTCTGTGAAATGTTAATGGTCCTGACCTGTCACTGTGTTTTCATGAGTAACACCTATGCCCCAGACAGTCCATATTTCTGAACTCCTCCCCACTGTGCTGCTGCCAGAGGCCCGAGATTCTGCCTGAGGAAGTGGATGCACACTCCTACCTGCCACAATAAGCAGGCTGAAGGTGGGAGCATGGGTGTACCCAAGGAAGCAAAMCAAAGAGAACCTCACCCTAGAATTCATTTCCTTTGATGTCAGGTGATTGTAGGTGCAGGACAGCTTTAAGATAAATCTCTTGTATTACTTGCCCATAAAACCTGCAGCACTGCTCAACAGCAAGTTTTGTGTGTTGAGTTTTATGCATAGCAACAAGACACCTTACTCTTCAGAGCTGGGGCTGGAAGAAACCTTGTCCTCCAGATGAGTCTCCCCGCTGATGGGAATGCACAGGGATATCTTTGATAACACTAAGTTGGATGGGAGTATTGCTCTGTTTGAGGGCAGAAAGGCTCTGCAGCAGGGTCTGGACAGGCTGATTGATGGGCTGAGGCCAACTGCATGAACTTCAACAAGGTCAAATGCCAGATCCTGCATTTGCATCACAACAACCCCAGGCAGCCCCTACAGGCTGGGGGAAGAGCGGCTGGAAAGCTGCCCAGCAGAAAAGGACCTGGGGGTGCTGGCTGACAGCAGCTGAATGTGAGCCAGGAGTGTGCCCAKGTGGCCAATAAAGCCAATGGCWTCCTGGATSAGCAACAGTGTGGSCAGCAGGACCAGGGYAGTGAYTGTCCCTCCGTACTCRGCACTGGTGAGCCCCTTGAGTCCTGTGTCCCCTTCTGAGTCCCTAAATTCAGGACAGACATCGAGGTGTGTATCCAGAGGAGTGCAAAGCTGCTGAAGGGTTTAGAGGAGCAGTTGAGGGAACTGGGATTGTTTCATGWGCAAAAATGGAGGCTCAGGGGGGACCTTATCACTCTCTGGAAGGAGGTCATAGCCAGGTGGGGGTTGGTCTCTCCTTCCAGGTACTAAGTGACAAGGGTAAGGGGGAATAGCTTCAAGTTTTGTCATGGGATATTTAGATTGGGTATGAGGAAAATATCTCTTCACTGAAAGGGAGGCCAGGCTTGAAACAGGCTCCCGAGGAAAGGGGTCGAGTCACTATCCCTGGAGGTGTTCAAACAACCTGTGGATGTGACTCTTGTGGACATGATTTAGTACTGAATGTGGTGGTGCCGAGTTAATAGCTGGGTTCGACCATTTCAGAGGTCTTTTCCAACCTWAACGATTCTGTGATTTTCAACCAGCTCAGGTTGCTCAGAGCCCCGTCTAACCTGACCCTGAATGTCACTTGCTCAAGTTATTCCGCCTTGACCCATTGTTTCAAGCTATCTGATCGCCAGGGACTAAGAAAACCCACGGCGTCCCAGCCTCCCTTGTCTCTCCCTGAACCCGAGCTTCCAGCGCGGAGTTCCCACCCTTTGGCAAACCACAGAGCCCTGTGAAGCCTCATCCCTGATCCTGACCCTAACACCTGATGATTTTTGCTTTTCCTTTACGCTTCTGTACCCCCTATGCATCCGCCTGTACCCCTTAGTCCACATGCTTGTAATTCATTCCTGAAGCCTGATATTCCAGCTTAGTTTAGGCGTTCTGCTGTGCAGAGAAACCAAACATCCTCAGGAAGGAGTCAGTGTGCCCTGTGCTATCTTAAACCCGAGCTCAGCCTTGGGTGAAGCCTTCTGTCCAGAACATCTTGTGTAAACTGGGCTCTGGCCYCATCTGGGGGGRGATTCATTAGAATAGRGRGACATTACTGCATTTGTTAAGTTTCTTATTGGGGAATCCTAGATAGATATGCTAATTCCTGAAACCTATAAAACTTGTACCCGTGCTGTACACGGGTGTGCATTCTGCCATCAAGTTGTGCACCTGGGATCCCAAATACCGAGGTAAAACCCTTTTTATCCCTTTAACCGTGTCTGTGTCATTATTAAAAACTGGCCTTTCGAGGCAACAACCCTGCCATGCTAAGCGCCCGGGATCCCAGGGAAGCGGGATCCCAGGGAAGCGAGATCCCAGGGAAGCGGGATCCCAGGGAAACGTCCCTCCCCCGGCGCCCCCCGAGCCACTGAGGGCGAGCGGGCCGCGCTCCCGCCGCCTCGCCCCGTTACCTGCGGGAGGCGCTGCCCGCGGAGCAGCCCCGGCCGCCGCCGCCCCGTGAGGGCCATGGCCGCGCCAGGCACCGCCGAGCACCGCCCGCCCCTCTCGGCCATGGCAACGGAAGGGCGGCGCCCGCCGCCGGCGCTGGGTGATGACGGGCTGGGCTGCGCTGCGCTGTGTGGGGCCCGGGCGGGAAGGGGCGGCCCGTGTTCTCCGTGTTCTCCGTGTTCGGCGTGTCCCCTCGGCGGCGCGGCGGAACGGAGCGAGGATGAAGCTGAAGCTGCTGGGCGCGGGCAGCGGGCGGCTGGGCTCGCTGGCGGGGCTGGGCCGCGGCGGGGCGGGCGCTCTGGCGCTGCCGGGCTGCCTGCTGTACACGCGGAGCGGCGCGGCKCCGCACCTCACCCACGACACGCTGAGGGAGGTGCGCGGTGTGCCCGGCGTGGCGCAGATCGCCCTGCCCGCCCTGTGAGTACCGCGCCCGGGCCGGGGCCCTGCTCCTCCTGCCGAGGGAGCTGAGGGGGCGCGTTGGGACCGTGAGGGTGAGGGAGCTGCAGGGATGCGTGATTTGCAGAGTGGTTAGACCAAACCCAAACTTCACAGGCATCTCGCTGAGGTGGCAGCAGGGTGAAGGAGGTGATTGTCCCGCTCTGCTCTGGTGAGACCCCAGCGGGAGAGCTGCATCCAGCTCTGGAGCCCGCAGCATAAAAAGGATGTGCGCCTGTTGGACCAGGTCCTTGGGAGCACCATAAAGATGCTCAGAGGGCTGGAGCATCTTTCCTATGACAACAGGCAGAGAGATTCAGGGTGTTCAGCCTGGAGAAGAGAATGCTTCAGAAAGACCTTATGGCAGCCTTCCAGTACCTAAAAGGGGGGTATAAGAAAGGTGAGGACAGACTTAACAGAAACTGCTGTGGTAAGAGTTAATGTGTTTAAACTATAAGAGAACAGACCAGATAAAATGAAGAAATCTCTTGTAATGAGGGGGGTGAAACGCTAGACCAGGTTGCCCAGAGAGGTCCTAGGTAGCCCATATCTGAATACATTTAAGCAGCAGCTAATTCAAAACTAGTTAGRTAAGTGGCAAATGAAAGGAAAGAATAACATGATAAAACTTGTGCAATTGTTGAATGATGTGAACACCTAAGTGATGCTACCCAAAAAGTCACAGTCTAGCTTCGTGCTCTCCATCAAGTCAGTGGTCACTGGTCAGTGCAGGTAAAAGTTTTACATTTTTGCCACAGAATTATGAGTGCCCCAGGTTGTGAGCTGTTTTTCTTGGGCTCTGCGACTGGTGTTTTATTCCTTCTGTCTCTGTCTGACAGCTGGATGGCAAATGCCAGTTCAGTGTCAGACAATGCATGTGGAGACAGAAACCTTAAGTATAAAACCACTGATCTCTTTAGACAGTTGTCTGCTTAGTTAATGTGTTTCTGTATCTGGATTGCAGGGCAGAAATTCATGACRTCCTGGAAGAGTATAAAGAAGGAGCTGCAAAATTTATGGGTAAAGTACGAGTGTTTGCTTGTATATCTGAGAGGATATATCTGCAGGTGGATCCCACTGGAGCATGTTCAGGCAGTACACTAGGCAGAAAGCTGTAGGCTTTGCAGATTTAGGGATTTTCTCATCCAAAGTGGCCCTAGGGAAGACTTGAAAGAGTATGTTKTTGCTRGTATGGCCAAAAATCCTTCAATTASGCTACAAAGTGATTACATGTCTGTAATTTCTATAATTTACATACAGGTCTTTTTGTATGTTAAATTTTGCAAGAAAAAAAATTGAGTTGCTTGTCTTGTTTTGTGTTTTTTAAAAGCACATAAAAATATGGGACATGCATTTCATTGTAAAGAAAAAATTATGGTTTGGCTTTCCAAAGGAAGTTTGTACCAAATTTAACTGCTTTGGAGCAATATACTCCTTCAAGAAAAATTGAAAAATGTCTTTGTCTGAAACTTCCTTGAGGCTTTACCAATTTCATTGACTATCTCTGAAGAGAAGGCTGTATGTCGCTGAGACATACTGTCTACTTYTCTGACATAGGAAACCTCCAGTCTGGCAGGGATGATAAATTTCTCATTTGTGTAGTTGATATATTCTCTCATGGTCCTATTTTCTGTGAGGATGATGAGGTGCTTAAACAAGTTGCCCAAAGAAGTTGTGGATGCCCCATCCCTGGAAATGTCCAAGGCCAGGTTGGATGGTGCTTTGAGCAGCATGGTCTAGTGGAAGGTGCCCCTGCCCACGGGTCATGATCTTTAAGCTCCCTTCCAACGCCACCCTTTCTGTAATTCTATACTTCGTTCTTCCTTAAAAGTTGTAGGCTTGGGGTTGTTCCTCAGTTTAGTTTGTGTCAAATGTCACCTGTTTGTGTCAGGTGTCTCCAGTGTATCAATTATCAGTTGAATGGTCAGGTGAGTCATCTGTTGGGTCTGGAAAATTTTAATAGGTGGGGTATTAATCAAGAAGAAASATAAATAAATCCCAAAGCAGCTTTTAGGCTGCAGAACCAAAGGGTGATACTTCATAGTTCATCCTKCTGCTGCACTCTTCTCCCTGCAGTTAGTAAAACTGAGGAGGAAATGCAGAGAGATAAATGAAATTTTCTTTGTCAGAATGGATGTACTTGTGTGGGGGACAATGCTCTGTTCCCTTTTGTAAATCTAGAAAGCAGATCTTTGCATTAGCTTTGCTTTGGCTCATGAAACTCTCCTCTGTGTCTGTCTCTCTTCCCAGGTTTGCCAGATGCTGTGCTCTACTGCTCCCTTCATGACCCAGTCACTCCCTGCCCATCTGGCTACAACACTAACAAGGTATGAAATCTGTAGAGACTTGAAAAGTCCACCTAAAGTACCCAAAAGAAAGCTGCCAGTCCTCCCTTCATCTGTGTGGGTGTGCTCAGACAGCCACAAGATTAACAACATAAATCTTTGCACAAAGAGGATTGTCATTTACATGTTCATACCTCCAACTAAATAAAGGTGTACATTTTCTTAATTGGCAGCATGTTCCCTGAATGATTCCTGAGCAATTAAGTGGCAATTCAGGTAGAAAGGAGAGATGTGGCTTCCTGTCCTGTTGTGGTTAGTATGGCAGAAAATATCTGTGTTTTGGCATATTTGCAGTATGAGCTTACAGTGATGCTGCTGATAAGCAGCAGATCTGAACCCCTGTGTATTTACAGCCTGTTACAGGCTCACAAAAGGGAAGGACTTCAGAATTTTTGCAGAAGGGTGGTTCAGCAACCCAGAAATGTTTCTGACATTTGCCTGTTYCATCCCACAGGCACACACACTCTCTGTTAATCCACAGGCTGACTGTTGCCTGACACAGCTTTGTGCTGAAGCAGCCACTCCTGGTGCCTGCTCAGATAGTCAGTCCCAAGGCCTGTTTGGGTATGGCCACACTGGGTGGAAGGTCACTGAGTGACAGAGGATTACTACTGCCATACAGCTATCAGTGTGTATTCCTTGCTGCTGGGATCCAGGCTGAGTCCTGTTTCTCTGCAGGGAAGGAATTACCTGAAGCTTGTCCCAYGGTTCTGCAGCTTTGAGGTGATAGCAGCAATCTAAAACCAGGTGTTGCAAGTTTGATTTAGACTTTTTTGGTTTTTTAAATAAGCTGATGAAGATATTTGTCATCTTGTCGTAAGGCCTTCTGCATCTGGATCTGTGCTGACAAATGCTTATGAAAGCTTTTTGAAAGCAATGGGACAGAAAGCTCTGTGCCAGAAAGCCTAGCATGGACTGGATTTAAATAATCACAGGATAATGCTCAGCTCTCTAAGCTGCATGGCTATTTTATTTATTAAAGYAGCTTTTTTTCCTCTCGAGAACAGAATGAAGGTAACTAGATGTGATTACACTGTGCCCTTTGGCTCAGACAGCTCTGACTTTCCTCTGCCTGCCTTCACCAGCTGTTCCTTGATGCTCTCACAAAAAGAAGCAGCAGGTACTGTCTGAACAGCATATTGCTGCAAACCAACATACAGCTGCTGTGTTTCAGTTATTCTGCAGATACAAATTTTGGCTCTCATTCCTTTGGAGTTWTTTTTTTTKTTCTAGTGGGAATTTTGCAAAAAATGTTTCTACTTTGGAGACAGAAATGTTTCTACTTTGTTTTTGTTCAAGTTGGTTGAAATTGGCTGGTAAGGCCAGAAGTAATCAGGAGAGATGATGGATGGATGGGTGGATGGATGGATGGATGGATGGATGGATGGATGGATGGACAACAGGCACATGGTATACTTGTACATTCCTTTTGAGTCTTTGTGAGGACCAGACCAAAAAAAAAAAAAAAGGTTCTGCTATTTTTTGCATCAGCTGATGAAATTCAATTTGCAAATTAGTATGCATGAGACCTGCACTGCATAATCTGTCTGTCTGGCAGAGGCTAGGGGAATGTGTTTAAACCCTCAGGCCCCAAAAAGTGCCCATAAGATTCCAAGCTATATGCTGATTCTGATGGCTGAAAACCCTTTCTCATTTAAAAAAGCATTAGCAGAATTGCTGATGAAAAGAGCTGGCTTCCAAAGGGTTTGAGCCCTTTACTTAACCTACTTGAATACCCCTGTAAAGTTTTGGAGCAGCAATGCCACAAGCCTAACAATAATACAACAAAAGCAGTGGCCACTCTGCACTCACAGGTTAATTACAGGTTCTGCAAAACAGGCCAAAATGTGAACATTTTGTGAATCTGAATGTTTATTGAATTGAATGGTAACATCTGCTAGTCTGGAGGCRTTCAGGTGAGATAACCTCTCTGTCCACGTGCTTTTTGTCTTGCCTTTAATTCTTTTGAGGGTATCAGAGAGTAACAATGGAAGATGGGGTCCCATGTGTGCTGACAGGATGGGAAGCATGTGAAGAGACACAGACGACTGTGTGTGCAATCCTAATGAAAACGTGTCATTTCTTACGTTGGCTCCATTTGAGTATTTCAGCACCTTCAAGAATTGCTATATTTGGGACCTAAAACAACATGTGTTTCTAAGACTGAGTTGCTTAACAAGCTGTTGTAACTTTCCCAGTCTGTATTGTTTRTATATACATGTACATTCACATGTGTGGTATGAATTAAGTGCTCAGAAGAGGAAAGAGTTTCTTGGATTTGCATTTTATATGGAAATCTAGTGAGCTGTGTTTGCCATTTCAGCCTTTGATGCTTTTTATAAGCTTTTGCTTACTTTTTTTTTTTCCAATTCTGCCACTAAGTTGTTGATAAGATGCCAGATTTATCTTACGCTTTATCTGTTATTTTCGAATGTGGAAAAGTCAGTGTTAAGTGGGATGATTTCACCAAGGAGTATCCCAGAAATTCCAGYTGAGTCATTTATCTCCTTTCACTCATTGTGCCAAATGCAGCTGATTATCTGAGCCATGCTCCAGGAGAACTTTCTAATGAGTTATCATTCCAGTATCTGGTATTTCACCAGACCAATTCCTTCTCTYTTTTCACTCTTAAGATCTGCTGTCCTTTGCAGCTAATGTTCATCCCTGTTGTTCCTGTACAGACAGTCTCCCTGTGGGGAAGCTCAGGGCGCATGGAGATGACGGTTTCCAAGTTCATGGACATCCAGCGGGCTGTTCAGCCAGACTGGTTCCAGTGCATCTCTGATGGAGAAACCATTTCTGGAGAAGCTGGTAGAAAAAGAGCCAAGAAGTCTGTGGATAGGTCACTTTCCTTCTTGGATGTATGCCTTCAGCTGCAAGAAAAATCACCGGTAAGGTCCCTTAAAATACTGAGGCAACAGCACTGCAACTGCTTTTTGGTCTGTGCTGCATCCTGGACCAGCCCTCAGGATGTSATTTAGTAGGAAATTGTGTCACATGTGTATCAGAGAATGCCCAGCTTACAGTCCAGAGTGAGGTATAACCAATAGCAGAGTTTTCCTTCCTTCCTTTAGGAAATTGTCTTCTGCACCAGGATCACCCCTCATCTCCACAAGTTGAGGAGAACTACTCTTCAGGGTTTTTCCTTTCTGCTTTTGGAATGTAATGCATTTCTTTMACTTAACCTTATTACTAGATATATGGGCAAAGTGGGATCTTCTTATTCAGGTTGAGAAAACCCATCTTTTTGCTCTGAAGTCCCCTTGGTTCCACATGAGGGAGGATTTGCTAGAATTAGTCAGTGCTATTCTTTATTTCTTCCTGCATCTTTGAAGCTTCCCTCTCTATTGGTGAAAGAGATATACCATCTGAGTCTGCACTACAAGGGAAACCAGATGACAGAAACTGTTTGTGTTTTGTGAAAGGGAATTCCTTGTGAGATCTGGTGTMTGACAATCAGGATAATAGCACCTGCTTTGTGTTTTGCACTAACACGTGTATTGCTGAGACCCCATCCATGAGAAGCTGTGTACAAAGATGGTGTGTGGTTATTGCCTTCTGTAGGGAGGTGGGAGGAGCAGTGKCAAAGTTCTCAGTGTGTTAGTGTCTTAGCAAGGAGCAGAAACTTGTCTCTAATAGTCCCACTTCTTACACAGGGACTTCACAGTGTTATGTGGGGAATAGTCTTCCGTGAGATGAAACCCCATGGTTCTGGCAAGTTCCTGAACTTGTGGGGCTTAAATAGCAGATGCCTGAAGTTTGGGCTGTGGAATGTSTTTCATGTCTTTGGCAGAGCTTGCTCTAACACTTGTAGCTTTCTCCTGGGACAGGAACTACAAGGAAGTGTAATGTTTGGGGCAATTGAAGGTGGAGATGTCTTGGAAGAGAGGCTCAGATCAGCCAGGGAGACTGCCAAGCGGCCTGTAGGTGGCTTTCTGCTAGATGGCTTCCAGGGAAATGCCATGGCCAAGGAGACCAAGTTGAAACTGATAGCTTCTGTCACAGCAGAGCTGCCAGAGGATAAGCCAAGGTAAGTTGTGTGGGCAACATCCCAAGAAATCCATATGTCCTATTATGAGGAGCATCTCCAGGCTGCTGTGCAGCCTCTGTAGCAAATAATCGCTGTATTGCACAGCTCTGTGTGTGCCAGGCTGCATAAATTTTACCACTGCCAGGCTGCAGTCTTCAACACTTGTTTCAGTTTTTAGCTGCACCAAGTTTTACTCGTGCTGTGTGTTCGAGTATTCTCCACATTTGTCATCTTTACATTTTTAGGAACAGTTACTGGTAATATGTGTCAGGATTATTTGCATTTGGTCTTGGAGGCCATGGTTTACTTGAAGTTCAGCTCAAACAAGAATGTCATAATCAAGATCTTTTGCAGGGGCCTGCAGGGTGGTACAGCCTGGCTCAGAACAGTGGTATTCTCTTCTTGGATGGTGTGGGGCTTATTGCATATCTGAGATGTTAATTTTGCCTATCAGACCCATGCCAGGCACTGGGCAGGGGTGGCAGCTTTCTTGATCCTTATAACTGACTAACAGTAGCTAAAGACTTCCTGAAAATGTGTGCTGATATTTGCTACTGGTTCAGACATGTAGGGGTTTCTTAGCATTAAGTTAAGCTTGCTGGATTGCTCCTACCAGAGCAGCTGCTACAGAAATAACATGGCTCCTTTTTTTCATTATTTCCTGAAGAGAATGACTGAGGGCCCATTGTGTTCCTGCTTCCCTCTGCTAGCAGAGCATTGCTCTGACCTGATGGTGTTTAAAAGGAAATTAAATGCAAAAGCACAGTGTCTGGTGTAGCAGCTTGTTGTTGCCTAGTGGTGCCTRGGGTTCCTGACAATTAGAAGGCTTGCTGTGTTGTTGCCATCCTGTCTGTTTGAGCTACTTAAAAGATCCCCTGGGAGCATTAGAGTCCAATCTGCTCAGCTAACCTCAGTGGCTACCAGTGCATCTGCCTCATCTATAAAATTGTTTGCTTGTCTTGTTAAGACAAGTGTTTTCTGACCTCTTGGTAGGAGGAGAGCTGGTTAGCCCCAGGGGATCTTGGAAGTACTTCAAGTGAATTTCAGGCAGTCCTTCTTCCTGAATCACCCTTGCCATTCTGTCTGGAGAAGCGTTTTTGGGTTCCTTTTCTACCCCAACATGAAATTCTCTAGAAGACAAACACTTTCTGTTCTTCACTCAAGAAGCAACTGTTTTTTGTGTGATGGTAAAATGATCTTACGAGTGCACTCTTTTTATAAAGAGTCCTTTCATGTGTCTAAAGGTGCTGAAGTCCCTTGATAAATTTTGTTTTCCTTTCCAGTAGCRTTGGGACCTTTGCAAGAACAAATGTTTATCCTTACCTGTAGGAAGATCAGTTTCAGCAAGGCTTTGATCATATATGCAGAGCTACTGATTGACTTTTGCTTATCATTTTCTCCCTGTCATGGGAACTTGAAACATAAAGCACTCGTGCTGTAAACTTCTCTTATCCTTATTCTGCGCTCATCAACTTAATTGGAGTACTTAGAAAAGTGACTAAAAATGGCACCTTGTGACTTCATTTATCAGCCCTTGTGTATTTTCCTAATTATCTGTTTAGATCATTGCCCTACATTAACTTCTAGTGCTGTCAGCCCAGCCATGCACCTGCAGGAGAGCAGGCACTGCTCTACTCTCTTACACTTCACCCACCCTCGGCGAAGCTGCCAACTAAATTTGGCTGCCAGCAGGATCTCTATTATCATTGATGGCAATCCAGCCAGGCTCTTCCTGGCTCTTAATGCCATGTCTCAGGAGGTTACAGCCCACAGTTTTGGGTAAATCATTTGAGCAGGTAGAGTGTATAGAGAAGGAAAGACTAAAGCAAGGAAGTTTTCTCTTTCTAATGACATTTCTCATTAGTGCATTCTTCCCTGGGCTGTTTTCCAAGTGCAGTACGATGTGTCTGTCACGTGAAGGACTTGTATCTTTGACCAGCCGTCTACTGCTGTCTCTTCTGAGACTCTTTTTAGACTGTCTTCTAAACAGCTAACAAGCAAAAAGGTCCACGTGTCTGGGAATTGGTAGTTCACTGTGGCACAAACATGATTAAGGAAAATATCTGTTCTGTGGCACAGGTGTTTTGAGTCTGTTTTATATATGTGTATGTGAAAGAAAGCACATGCAAGGCACATCAAGCACTGTGAACAGAATGGGGTTTATCCACATTAAAAGGGATTATTGCTGTCTTCCAAATGGCAAATAGTGAAAAGCCTGCTGTGTACTGGRTAGGTTGGAGGTGGGCAAGTGGAARCACAYRGAAYTCTGYGTGATGACTTGTGCCCCTTTACCTTCTGCTTAGCAGTTGCAGAGATGACCTGGAGGTCTTTTCCTTCAGGTACTTKCTTCCTTCTACTCAGAGTATTGTTGATTTGTCTTCCTTTATGTCTTCTACAGAATTATTCACGGTGTAGGCAAACCAGATGAGGTGCTTGAGTGCATTGAAAAAGGAGTGGACATTTTTGAGAGCTTCTTTCCCTTCCAAGTGACAGAGCGAGGCTGTGCCTTGGTTTTCAATTACGAGTACCATCCGGATCCTGAAGCAACAGGTAGATTTYTTGATGGTCATTATAATTTGTACGTTTTGCATTGTGGCAAGCACAATTCATACTTGGGAGGAATTTGTATTTGAGGGTTTTGTTCCAGAAATAATTGCAGTGACTGCTGGAAAAACTGGGATTCCACTATCAAKTGTTGCTTTTGATGATGGAGTACTGTATTGGGTCTGACCGACCAGTACTTTGGTGTGAAATCTATCAAGTAAAACTTGAGGCCTCTGAATGTCTAATTAGCCAAAATACGATGATTAAACATTTCTTAAACACCCCCTGAAGAGAGTGGTTTTAGTTTGACCCCATTGGCAAATTTTCTGTTACCATTTGCAGTGAAGGCTGGACCTGTTAAGAGATCTCTRGAATTAACTGAATATGTTTCTGTTGTAACAACACATTTTTGAAGTTTTAACAATGTATTTTTGAAGTTCCTTTTTTCTAACTGTCAGAAATTTCCCATTGATTTGGGCAGATTTTCTCTCTGTCCTTGCATTCATAGATTTCTATCAAAACCAAAATGATCASTTTGTAACTCATTACACTGTGAGATGGGAATGTGTATCACCCATTAAAGCACCTGTGTCAAATGTGTTTCAAGTGGCTGTTTTGTTTTGGTCTGTTAAAGGTTTTTAATACAGGGAAACATTTTACATTTTTTCTCTTGAGTAGAACCTAGTGGCTTTTCATGCCTGGATAATTCAGAGCCAGCTGAATAGAACAGAACATCTTTGTTTTTTGTGTTTGTTGCTATTTTTTTAACCCTTCTCTTTGTTCTTTATCTTGTTTTATTTTATTCTTAAATTGTGAGACCCTGGGTAATGGCTGTGGTTTTGTTTATTTTAAACATGGTAGGCGTGGGTTATGCAAACAGTAATATTGKTATTTTCAGATACATGTCCTTCTTCTTAAGAACAAACTTAAAAATGCAAACCTACAAAATTATGGGATGGTTCTTTATTTTTCAAATRGATGCTGAAAAGGCAGATGTGGAAYCTACCTCTTCTGAATTAGTGCTCCCAGCCTCTTTTAATTCCAGGGTTTAAAAAAAACAAAACCAAGAGGCATCTAAATCTCTGAGTCTGATCACAGCATGGAAAGTAAAATGAYTGAATGCAGATGAGTTGCCTCTAACAAAATCTCAATAAAATCCATTTGTTCAGGTGATTGCATTCTATTCAGCATGCAGTTCAGACAAAAAAATTGACGTTTATAAAGAATTCAGCTCAGTAGAGCAGCAAAAAGTTATGCTATTGTTTCAGCTCTAACTTTTGATTAGTTTTAGTTGATTAGTTTTCACTTGTCTCATGCTGTTTTAATTGTCTAAAAGTATATTTGTGTTGACTAACCTATGGCAATTAAAGTAAAATGTCTACTTTCTGGAAGAAGGAGGTGGAAATTTGTGGCAGGAGTTTCCAGCTGGCAAAGGAGTAGCAGGAATATCTAAGGTTGCTACCCTTGCTCTGCCCTTGCTCTCTGTTCTGAGGCTGTTGTCTTTATAATTTAAGCAGTTTTAACACAAAATGGAGCTCAGGACCTGGAGAAGAATGGTGCTCAAGAAGACCAAGATGAAGTCTTCAAAGCTGACCCAGAAATGACAACATTTGAGATATTTCTGAAGGACAAAAAGTATGTGAGTTTGTGAAAGGGTACCTGCAGCTCTATCAGTAAATACCATGTTTTGTCCTCTGCATTTATTTGCATCTGCTCAGCAGCTGATGAGAGACTTCATAAAACATGAAGCTATTGAAGAGAGTGCTGCTGGACATTGAGTGTAGAATGTTGGACAAGAACTCTAGCTTGTTATCAGTCAGCAGCCTCTCTCTGAAAGTGCTGGCTTTTGCCTGACCTAGAGCCAGGGGTTTTCTGATCATTTATCCAGCAAACATTCTGTGGTCATAATTATGTCTTAGCTGAAGGACCATAGGCTCACAGAGGTGGTGTAGTTTTTATTTAAACTATGAAGACCCTCTACTCTGACAGTTTGGGCAGCTGCAGAGCAGTTCTGCCATTCCTGGATACTTCACAGAAACTTTGACCATTGTTACCACCTGTCTGTCCTCTTTGCCACAGGTACTTTCAGGCTGTCTGAGTACAATTGTGTTGCTTTGTGCTCTCCACTCTGTGATGTGGTGCATCTCACAGTAGAGGGGAATACTGTTTTGTGAATAGTGGGATGAGTAAATCCATGGTTTTGGTAGCTTTCTCCTTCATAAATTGTGTGATAGCAAGTGAGGGCTGTGTTGCACTGCAGCTTTTTCTGCCAGGSAAGGCACAGAAGGCACTGCTCTTTGCTGTGATGTAGTCAGAGTTATTCTGACTTAATATGGTCTTTTGGCTCTTAAGTGAGTTCTGGCATGAGGAGGCCTGGGGCTTGCAGCAGCTATGGTCCCACACCATGGCAGGGTRTGGGAGCTACATGATCTTTAAGKTCYCTTCCAGCCCAAACCATCTGTGCTATTTSAAGTCCTTTGTGCCAGTGGTACTGGTCTGAGTTGTCAACAAATCTGGAATAAGGACCTCAAGACTTCAATGCTTAGGTCCCTGCAAAAGGCCAGGTGCTAACTGGGTGCTCTTCATTGCTTGAATGGCTCTTCTTGCCTCTGATGTTACTCAACATTGCTTCTTCCTTAGGTACCACGATGATTTTGGTCCCTTGCTGGAAGGATGCAGCTGTTACTGCTGTCAGAGGCACACTCGTGCCTACGTCCATCACCTCCTGGTGACCAACGAGCTGTTGGCTGGTGTCCTGCTTATGATGCACAACTTCCAGCACTACTTTGGTTTCTTCAGTGCCATTCGGGATTCCCTAAGGGACAATAAACTGGATCAACTCAAGAAGCTTGTCTTCAGGCAGATGCTGCAAGGCYCAGCAAATGCAACACTGAGCCAGTGAGTTCAGAGAGGACAGAGGACRTTGCAGGTTGTGTGCTCATCCAGTGGAACTGTATCACCTGGACCTGTCAGTAGTAAAATGCCTTTTTTCCTTCCTGGAGGGATCTTAAGGAGATGTTTGAAGAAGATCTCACATCATGGGGAAGGATGATTTTGTTCCAAGGTCTACTTTGGTTAATTTCCAATGGCTCAGTTTGGTTAATTGGCTTGGTATGTTCTTGGTGGATGGAAGAACCTGGACGGTTCACCAGTAAGACCAGTATGGATAACTTCGTTTTCAGCTACTGCTGATTTCCCATGTGCAGGGACAGAGTTATTGAACTTGTGATTGAAGATAAAGCAGGGCATATATTTAAAATTAATCCAGCTGCTTGGAGGCTTAGCAGCTGCTTGGGACTCTTGTTCCATACCCACCCCACCAATAATTATTTTTCTAGAAAAACCTAGTGGTGTCCTAGTGTCTTATCATGTAGCTCCTTGGTGAGAAATCCCAACTCAGTCTAGGACACTGTCCTTGTGGCCATTGACAGCATCTTGGAAAGAACTGACTGGAAGTGCTGCAGTGTCCAGTGGCACAAGGTACTGTGTGTGTACTTCTCTCTCAGGCTGCCTGCAGTGCAGAATGTTCTCTGGGCTTGGAAGAAGCCCTTCACTTTGGCCTGGCCCTTACCACCCCTGCCTCAGGAGTCCCAGTCAGAGCCAGAGAGAAAAGAAAATGTTTAATCCATGTCCTGCTTGAGARGTTTTTTTCCCAACTCTGCATTTTTTCCAGATTTCACTCCCATGTTAGCATGTGGATGATAATGTCTGTACCATTCTTTCCAGCTACCCTAGCACACAAATGTCACTGAGATGGAGCTGTAGAAAAGATGTGTCATAGGAAAGGGCTTTTAGAAAATGTTYTTGTGGCTCCTTATTTTAAAATATGACTTAGTTATATTCCTCTTATTCAGTTGGTTTTTTTACTGCCCCTTACTGTGGAATCATGGATTTAATGATTTTATATTACAAAGCAACAATAAAAGAAATTTATTATCTGTTACACTGGCTCTTCAACATGTGACCAAGGTGATGTGCCAGAGAGCTTGAACTCAAGGTGTCTCCTAGAAATTTGATGTAGCAGCCTGATGGAGGACAGAGACTTATCTAGGAACAGGATCTTGTTGTGGAACAGGGTTCCAAGTAATTTGCTTCAAAAGAATGTCATAGAATAGACTCAGAAGTGTTGAAGATAGCCTGTCCCTCTCCCCATAAGAACTCTATTACCTTAATTAAGCTTGAAAAAATACTGCACTTAAAGTTAATGGTCTTAAAACCATTAAGGATTAATCTGTAGTTTGCTTTTCACAATTTTTGCAGTGCTTTAAGATTTTAATATCTCCCATCTGAATGGCTTTACCATAGACTATATGGAGTTTTTGGTTTCCCTGTCTCTTTGGGCAGCTAGCCAAGTTCTTTCTACCATTCCAGCCTTATTCACTGTGTTCACTAACTACACTTCTGTTCCACAGGATCCTAACTAAATGGTGCAAATACTGCTCTACTGTTATCTTAAAACAGAGATTACGAGAATGATTCAGCCACAGAAATGACATAAAATATAGGATTATGCCCCTCACTCCAAGCAGTACTTTCTGGTTGTTAAAGTTGATGCAGCACTGGGAAACTTGGAGAAGGTGTCCTGGGTATGCAGCATGARGTAGAAAGTCTGCCTGACTTAAAGGGAAGGAAATTCTCATGAAACAAAAATGGTTCATGCTTCTTAGAAGAGGAATGCAGTGGTAGTGTGTGGAACATGGCAATGCTTGTTCCTGCAGTGCCTGTTTCTACGATGTTGCAAGTGCCTGTGCAAAACCTTTTCCGAAAGGGAGCTACATGTGGTCAGTCCATCCTGTCCCACCTCAGTGAATCATTAGGATTTATTAACTTTTCTTTATCTCCCAGTCTGGATGTCCTTTGGAGATAAATGTAACTGGGATCTTAGTGACCTGTTAAGCTAAGTGTCAATATTCTTGATTACCCTCCTGTTCTTCCTTTTTAGGCTTTCCAGTCTTTCCATACTGCTGTGTTATGTTTTTTTTTCCCAGTCATACCCATTAGGCATTCCTGTTACAGTTCTTTGCTTAGCTTTTATGTGTGTGTGTGTGTGTGTGTGTGTGTGTGTGTGTGTACCACAGCTGCACAAAGTAAACCATTTTCTGTTGGGCAGAATTTGACCAACTACATCATTCAGTATCTAACAAAAACAGTTACAAGCATCACTAACCCTGAAACAACCTTAATGTATTTTATTTATACAGCTTCTCAGTGTCAGTTCTSTTAGCTCACATTAAAAATTCAGCAACATTTTTCATGCTAACTTAGAAAGGTTTTTATTTATTTCCAGGCAGAGGTCTAATTTCTTTCAAAAGCAGAATTCTTACCCTAATAGGGGGATGAAGAAAGCTAAACTTTCCATGGAGAAGTGAAAATTGAAATTAATAAGAAGTGGAAAAATATCTGTGCTAAATTAACTTCACTAAGCACAGAAGACTACAAAAACATCCTTTACYACCATCCATCCCCAAAGGGGAGAATGTAAAAGAACAGATCAGAATACAAAAGAGATTGTGTGTTACAAAAACATTAGACCCTTGAATATCTTTTCCTTAGCACCTTTTAGTGTCATCTTCCCCCTAATAAAGAAAAATCTTTCATGCTGATGAGAATAACTGATAGGGCTGCATGTTAAGTGCTAAGTCCTGTGCCTTTCTGACCACTTCATCAGTATTCTGCTCAGTGGCTTCCTCCTTTCAGATGTATTTTAATATTGCAGACCCTTCAGCAGTTTCAAAGGCATGCTTTGAAATAAGGAAAAAAAATCAAATGGATTTATCACAAAAATGTTTTCTCCTTTCCTTCAGGTTTGTAATTTCCTGCCCCCCTCCTGCTGTTCATCCACCCCATCCTGTAAATTGTTAGGACACAGTGTCCAAGACACACAGAATGTATCCAGCCTTGTCTGACAGTTTTCTATGTCTACTCCTTTGTGGCTCTGCAGGATTGCAGGAGCTGCCCAAGACTGGAACTGCTCCAGCAGGGTGTTTGATTTATTTCTACATGTCCAAGGTCCAGAGGGCTTTCACATCACAGGATTTTTATGCATAGAAAAATYGGTTCTGTTTCCGAAGTGCATTTAGCATTGAGTAGCTTTTTATTTTTTTCATCCTGAACCCTGTCATTTTTTGATTGATAACCTGAGTTGGCAGACAAAGGGCTCCAATAAAATGTTTAAACCTTTTTCTCAGTAATTTCAGAGATGTTTCCTCTGTGATGTGGAAGGCATACATGAAATAGATGGTGGTGCAGGCCAGTTTAATGGTTTAATTTGTAGTACTTTGGAGTGATCTACATAATTCACTAAGGACCTCATCCGTTTTCTGGTAATGCAGCACTCCTTCAGACTATTAAAGATACTCAAGCACATGTTACCATCCTTTCTTATGCACATTCTGTAGGCATGAGAGSATTTTTCAGACAAAAAGAGAATTAATTTAAGTCTGTTTAAGAAGTTGGGTCTAGACTGGCACAAAAGTGATGCAGCAAAATGTTCTTTCTTCCCTGTTGATGTTGCCAATGTGAACAGTGTCTGTCAGAGTACACAGTCTCCTCCCTGGGGACATACTGACGTGGAAAAGCAACACCTTTCCTCCCTCATAATGAAGTGATGATGGACTGCCTGGTTAAGGCTACACCTGTCATCTGTATGATTTAACTACATTGGTCCAGTGGAGGTGCAACACAGTGGGATGCTYTGTTATGCTTCTGACACAGCTCCTYGAGCTYCTGGCCTTGCTTACTCCTYGTCATTACAAAATCTTTGGAGAAAGCCTGCTCTGTTCACAGCTATATGTGTGTGAAAATCTTGCAGAGCTCCTTGGGAAGTAGTTTTGGATGAGAAGGGATTATCTGGTTAACCAGGATTATYTCAAACTTCAGCCTGAAAATTTAGGAAACTGTTTAGTGAGGACCAAAGGTAAAGCACTTATAAATAAAGGCATTTGGACCTGCCTGGCAGCTCAGGATTAAACAGCTTTCTCTCTTCCCTATCCTTCTGCTRTAGCATAAAGCACTTTCTGGCCCAAGGGAGCAGCCAATGCCCTGGAAAAGGCAGTGGCTGTGGTTCATGGCAGAGGCTCTACAGGACAGGGTGTACCTCACTGCCTGTATGTGCAGAGTAGATTGATTTGCAGGTTGCTGATCGAGAAAAGATCTAAAAACTGCAGGCCTTATATGCCATGGCCCAGCACAGACTTCACAAAAGGAGAGGTTTCAAGGTCCTTGGCCAGAGTTCCTATTCCCATTGCAGTGCTCTGTGTGCCATACCTTGTGCTCTTGAGCYGACTGCCTTTCTGAGCTGCTGGATGTGTTGCAGCACACAACACRAAGGTGGCTTTTGTAGCAATGCTTTGTGCTCATTGCTCCCTCCTCCCACGGGAGAATATCTGGTTTGCGTTTTGATGAGGTAATCAGGGGAGGTGTTGATGTAGCCAGCATCTTGCAGGAAGTCATCAAAGCCTACAAATCTGCCTGGAGCTTTTTTATATTGCCCTACCTGGACCAGAATGGAACCGTCTACAAAGTAATGTCAACTTCAGTGGTACTCTGTGCTGAAAAACAGCTGAGGAAAACAGCCCTTAGGAAAGCCAGATGCTTTCCTCAGACAAAGCTGAGGGAACTGGGGTGAGAGAGAGCAGACTGGCAGGCAGCTGAAGCCTTTAAAGAGATGCAGCCTCTTCAAGAAAGGGAACAGGAGATGGAGCATCTGGGAGGAAGGAACACAGGCAAACAGGATGATTAGCATTTGGCAAGGCCAGCAAAAAAATGAATGGGAGCTGTGCAGTATGTGCATGGGTAGCACTGCCAACATCAAGTTGCAGAAGCCCCTGGCACGTGTCYTTTTATCCATCCCTTGTTTTGCACRTCTTGAGGAGGRGGAAATGCTCTGTTGTGGTTCAAGGACTTTAGCTATGGCTGCACAGAGTAATGCTGGCAGCCCTCAAACCTGAGGCTGATGGGGTGCTTAGTGCTGGACTCWGCCCTGGTACCTGGCTCTGTTGTTGCTCACAGCCAGTGCTGTCACAGATATTCAGATGAGTCCTGTGGCATTAACCATCTGCTCATGTCCCTTGAGCTGACCCTCACAGAGGGACAGAAGTGTTGCTGCCTCTCAGCTGAGGCATAGCAAGGTGAGCAATCATCTGCACCACAGCCGTTCTGCCATGACACAGGATGGCAGAGATGTAAATCCCTCAGTATTTGTGCTTCTATCCAGTGAAAAGTGGTCTGTATTTCACCTGTTCAATTTGCCATGCTCACAGCTGTGGGGTAAAATTTGTTAAAATTGACAAGAGTCCCCAGGGCAGGAAACCAGAAAGGTGTTCCCCACATCAGCAAACATACAACAGCCTGATGCTTTTCTAACTCAGATGCTTAAATCATACTGAAATAAATTTTTAGTTATGTTCATTTTCCTCTTTGGCCCTTTCTTTGCCTCACATTTCCAGAGGCATTCAGGGATGAGACCTGTCTGGCAGGAGGAGATTCACTGATGTGTATCTAGAATCATGAAGGAAGCTCAGGAAGTCTGGGCCCCAGAAAAAGTGTATCCCTTTTGTAGAAAGGTGTGGTTGGTATCAGAGCTCATGGATCCTTATCTGACACTTGAGGCAGCAAGAAATGAAGAAATGGTGGCATGAGTGATGCCAGGAAGGCATAACAAGAAAGGTCACTACTTGAGTTGAGATTGACTATTTGGAGAGTAAGGGRTAGCTGGATCAGTGGCATTTGAGATTGAAAGGCAGCATTGGCCTGGGATGTAACTTCTACATTGCGTAGAAGAGGCTCAGGGCAGCTGATGTTGACTTTGAAGAARTACAGTTTTCAATCCCTCACACTTTGAAATTCCTACAGCCTTGTGAGCCTTTGCTGCTAAGGCAGAAGGTCAGGTGCTARAATACTGCCAGGAGATGACAACTGTGTTAATTCATTATTACCATGAGTTGAGGAAAAACTCACTTTGACGGCTCATTGAAAGGCTCATGCAGATTTGGGATACTTATACTGGTCACAGGAAGAACGGATGTGCCCATTCTTTTTGGGAAGTGAGACACCTCAGAGCCAGGTGTGTTTGCAGGCTGAAGCCTGCCAGTCTCATCATTTTATGACCAAACCMTCACACACTTAGCTGAAACTAATCAGATTGCTACCAGTGTCCTCTGGGTTGTCCAYAATTCCTATTTGTATTTCTCTGAGTGTCACCATATCAGCAGCCTGCAGGCTGTTGATCCTCCCTTGAAGTGCTGGCGTTGATTAGATATTCTTCAGAAAACATCACATCAGTAACAGCAATAATCTGCAGCCAAGCTCTCTCTTCCAGAGGAGCTGCCAACCTGAGCCAGCCCCACTGAGAGCAGAAAACTCACCCCACATCACCCCAATCCCCCTCAGAGAGGCAGATTCCAGGCATACTCCCTACTCTTTCCAAGGAGGAAGCTGCCTGTGCTTAGCCCCACAGTGGGGTCCAGCTGAGCATCTGGCCATGCCAGTCCATCCCCTAAGGGGCCTCAGGAGGGTTACCTGGGCATGAGATTTTTTTCTGCAAGGCTTTGCTTTGTCCTTGTAGCCTGGCAAATGTGGATTTTAGTATCTGGCTGCAGCTGGAATTGTTAAAACAATGTCCAACAGCTGCTGCAAGATACCTGGAGTGTATTGACTGAGCAGTGTCACCTGTAGAGCATTGGGCTGTGCTAACAGGTGAAATGCACCTCCTCCATAATTTCCTTGCCTTCCCAGGAGTCAGCTTTTTTTCATGGAAGATTGTTTTATCTTCTGCCCCGTGGGCCTTTGTGCTCTTCTGCTTAAAGATTCCTGCATGATCCGGTGCCTGTTGCTGCCTCTGACAAGGTAGAGTGTTTTATGGTTTCTTCTGTGTTTATTTTTTACAATGTAAAACTTAGCATAAGAGCTTTTGGTTCTAGCTCTGGATGGCCTCAGTTCAGTGCCTGGTACTATTTAAGATTTTAGCAACTTGGATAAGCTGTGTTTTTCCTCCTAGACCTGAAGTTTAACACATGCAACATGTGGCACATCTGTCAGAGATGGGGAGCCCCAGGTACATGTGGGATAGCAAACTGTGGGATGTGTGGGCTCAGTCATTCGTCTGGGTTTGTGCAGCTGAGCCACAGCCTATGGCTCTGTGAGCTGGGAGATGRTGGATGCAGGGGATAAATGGAGTTTTTCAGTCCATTTCTCAGGCGTGCTRTAAATGTGTCTAGACAGTCAGTACTTGGATGGCTGCCTTGTACCTTGTAGGGGGAGCTGATATTCCCGGTGTGTGTTGCCAGCTCTCCTTCATCTCCAAAGGGTCTTAACTCTCCTCAGCTACAGTAGAGCTGTTTCCTGGCTGTTSTGTCTGCTGGCTCATTTCCAAATGTTTTCCAGCACAGGGGACCAGAGCTATCCCATTCCAGCTGCTGCTGGAGCAGGGTGGAGRTGAGCACAGACTGCAGAGCCCCATGCTGCACCTGCACATCTGCCCAGCCCTGCTGCCAGAGCAACCTGTGCCTGTCTCTGAGCTCCCTTCTCCTCTCTGCAGGAGAGAATGTTTCTACATTATCCAGAGGCTCTTCTAATGTGAATATCAGTGTGTAAATGAATCCCTGTRGGATGCAGAGCATCACAGCTCACCTCTCCTCTCCCAGCCAGTTGTGGAGTCAGGGAAAACAAAACAGCCAAGAGGAAAACATTGTAGAAAAAGAAGGGTTAGTAGGAGAGATTGAATGGTTGAAAAAGRAGAATGCAGATTATTCTGCTCTAAATAATGAGTGGGGGATGTGTCTTGGGGGATCTTCAACAGTCCTTCTGGGTTGCTGAAGAGGGTGGAGTGGCATCAGCTGCTTGCATCTTTGATTATTTCTGTTCCTTGGCCTTTTCTATGGGATYACCTATGTTTGTATTGCCAGAGTAAAACTGGGCATGGAGCTCAAGCAGCAGTTGAGGGAGGGGGAGACAAGGATTTTTCATTTGGAGTTGAGTTTTTGTAATGGTGTGAGGATTTTGTGGTGTCTTTGTTTGGTTTTTTTTTTATCCATAGTAGGTTATAGTTCAAGAGGTTGCAGTCAGTTCTGTGATCTRATAGTTCAAATCTTTGTTAGTAAAGCAAGGACCATGTTTTAGATACAGAATTTTCACCATCCCTTATAGCTGTGTGGGCACCCACTGAAATGCTGCTTAATCTTCTGCCACAATTCCTGTTCTTACCTCTATTCTGCATCTTCTGGGGGATCCCTCCTTGAAGAACAGGTTCAAATTCAAATAAGATCAAACTGATTCCTGAGAGATGCTAGGCCAGATCTTGAAATGGACCTATTCATCCTTTCAATGATCTTTATTCTCAATTCTTCTGTTGTAATATAAAGCAACTGGACTGGTGATCTCTGTTATGAAGCATCTTTAATGAGAATTCCTCGAGTGGCAATCTGTCCACAGGCTGATTCACTCAATTGATACCTCCACCATCCTGAGTGCCTTCTGGGCTGTCCAGCATCTTTGAGCAGATGGAGTAACACTACTGCATGTCTGCCTGGCATAGTTGGGAAACTAATGGACTGTATTTTCAGAATTTGTCTGCTGGAAGTGCCTACAGCAGCCTTTGATTTCTTCCCCAGTTGGAAGGAAGATGCAAGTAATAATAAAGACTTCTTGTAGGTGTCCAGGTGGATGATAATTTTTTACAGAGAAAGTGTTAAGAGTGTTGCAGGTGACAAACAGCTTATGGAAGGGGATACAGTCACCACAAGGCACCARAACTTCCAGTTACACTTGTGTTTTATTGGGCTAATGCAGTTACAATGCAGTATGGAGGTCACTTCCCYAGGCAAATGACACATGCTCTCCTCAAGATCCTCATCCCAAAACTCAGACAAACCAAAGCAGCAGCTGGAGCTCTGCTATGTGCTCTGCAGRCAGAGAACAACAGCCTTGGCTTTGTATTAGGAAAAAGAGGAAGCCTTGGACACAGTGRCATGGACACAAGCAGGAACAGCACACAGAGTTATGCCCAAAGCTATCAAACGAGCATGGCTGACAGCACGACTAAGCCAAGTCCTGGGAGGGAGASCTGAAGCCTCTGATCCAGTACAGTGAGGGGACAAAAGGACAGAACTGTGTTGAAGCTCTCTGACCCATGCCATGTTTGTCTGTATGAGGGGAAGAGCATTAGGGTGCCCTGACATGAGACCAGCTTACATGGTWCATCAGGACTTGTCTGTTTTTTCATCCAGGAACTGCTGGAGATGGCTTTGTGGAATACTGTTGAGAAAGGAGACCGTGGCTGGGCTGTATTTGGCCAGCTCCTGGATGCTGGGATATACAGATGCCATATGTGAGGCCAGGAGTATTGACAAGGGATGTCAGGGACTGACTCCAAGGGAAATGTCCCTTCTTACTGGGAGGGATGTTATGAAACAGCTGTCCCCTAGGTAAGGGCTGTAACAGCAGTCATTGCAGTACCCAGATGCTACAAACCCTAAATCTAGCAGTGCTCCTGTCAGGAGAGGAGCACGGGTGCAGATTGGTTCCAAAAAGACTGCGGACAAGTTTTGAACAAGGGTGCATGCAACCAGCTGAAAAAACAGGCTTGAATCTCTGGGAGCTATCACAGGCCTTGCTCTCTGAGTGGCCCCAGTAGATCACTGGGGTGTGTGGTAGTTACAGAGTGGCCAATCTTATCACTGGTCCTTGGATCAGGAGGAGAGGGGACCCCGGGGTRGTGCTGCACTGCTCATGTGAGCTGACCTTCCAGAGGGAGGGCAGCCACCCCTCTGCCTTGCAAGGAGCAGTGAAACAACCCAAGCTGGCAGCACAAGAGAAAATTTCATTTGCAACCAGGGTGATTTTCTCAAGCACTTCGACTGACCCAGTTTTACGGTTAAACCTTTTGATGGAAACAACAGGAAAGTTGTTATTTCTCCACCAGTGCTCCTTTTCTAAGTTTCCTTGTCCAGTTTTTGCTCTTGGCTGCTGATCAAAGAGATYGGGATCCTTATCAAGGAGGTCACGTTCTGTCCTCTTACCAGGACTGCTGTGCATGAGCTGGGTGCCTTCTGCAGGCTGAGGTGCCAAGCTGTGGGAGGGCAAATGCATTTCTAGCACAGCAGAGATGAGAGATGCCATCTGTGTTTGGGTCCTGTGCACCCTGCGAGCCTGGCAGTCCCGAGGAGTGATGTCTGCTGCACACCCAGGGCTGTGCCYAGCGCTGAGGGACACACTGGCTTGTCTCGTTCATCTTCCCTCCCACAAGTGGGAAGCGCTGGTTCTCTCTCAGGCAGGAGTGCTGAGGGAAGGCAGCCGTGTGGGTGAGCCGTGTCCCCACTCTTCACTGGGGTGCAGGGGTGTCTGGCTCTCAGCACTGATCACAGCACGCTGACCACCGCTGCTCGCAGCCAGGGCACTCCCCCGGCGTGGGGAGCACAGGGAGAAGGGCCCTACCTTGTCCCAGCCCCAGGCTCTGCTGCAGAGCCGTGCAGCCCTGCGGTCAGCAGCACAGGATCTTGAGGAAGGCCTTGCGGAAGTCGGTGTTGAAGGTGGTGTAGATGATGGGGTTGAGGGCRCTGTTGACGTATCCCAGCCAGGTGCTGGCACTGTAAAGCCCTGGAGGCACATGGCAGGATGGGCAGTGGGCATTGAGGATGTGGATCAAGAAGAAGGGCAGCCAGCAGACKATGAATGCCCCTGGGTTTAAAGAGAGGCAGGAAACAATCCGTGAGTTTAGAGAAGCAACTATTTGGAAAGGGGCCTGCACTTGTGCCCTCTCCCTCCACCCCTTTGCTATTTCTATGATGTTTCCGTATTTCAGAAAATAAAGGCCACATTTACCCTGATACAGCGAGATTTAGCACAGTTCAGGCTCCTTGGGGCCAGTTTTGTGAACGGCTGAATGGACTTCAGAAGTGATCTGATGGCAGACAAAAGCAAGTGGCCACACCTTAGAGAGAAAGCCTGCTTTGGTCAGTTAGGATGAGGGCTGCTTTGTTTCCATGCCAATACTGACTTAATGGGGGAAATAGGGCATCTGTGACAGGGACACCAGCCTCCTGGCTTTCTCAGCAGGTGACAGGGACACCAGCCTCCTGGCTTTCTCTACCCAGCTGTGTGAACTGGTTCCTCTGCGGCTCCTTGCCTCAGTTTCCCCTTCTGTAATTGGATCTAAGAGCTTCTGCATGTATGGAAATGTAGGATCATTCCAGCCTTGTAACAGTAAAACAAAGGAAAAGCAAAGATGTTGGTTGTTGCTCCCTCCTGGTAGGACTTGTTGGCACTGATTTCAAACATAAGGGTAACAAAACATAGTAATAAAATACTAACATGTAGCTCTCAACATCTGGGAGCATTATTCTAGATCACTAAATGTCCCACCACTGTCTCTCCTGAGCTGGTGAAGTAGCAACAGCTGAAGCCAGGGCCTAGCTTGCATTTTATAAAATCTCAATATTGTATGAGGAGTTTCTGTGCTCCTGGAAGTGCCAAACCATCATCCCTTGCATCCCACAGACAGAATGGCTCTCACTCACCCAGGACAATTGCCAGCATCTGTGTAGCCTTCCTCTCCCGCAGCTGGATCAGTCGGGGCTGCTGCTGTGCCARCTTCACGCTGCTGATGGTTCTGCCATTGCTGAGCCTCCGCACCTCCACTGCTGGCTTTGTGCTCGTCCTCCTCTCGTCCCAGCTGCTGTTTTGTGCTGTCCCTGCTGCCTTGCTGAGGGGTGCCTCATGGCAGAAGCTCCGGTACCGCTGCAGGCTGAATGCAGTCAGCAGCCTCCTTTTTGTAGACATCTCCTGGCCTGTGCATTTCAGTGACAGACACGGGGAAAACGTGCCTTGGCACCTGTTTGGCAAAGCTTTTCTCTCCATGTCTTCCTGCAAAAGAGGATGCCACAGAGGAACTGGAAACCATCCAAACTGCTCATTGGGTCAGAGGATCATGAGGAAAGTTGTAGGGAGTTATCCTCAACCCCACTTGCCTCTTACATTGCCCCATGTTKCCTGGACTGACAACACTTGACAACTCTCTGCCTCCATCCCACCAAGGAGAAGCAAGGGAACAGTGAGAGCAGAATATCTGCTCTGCCAATTCTCATCTGTATTTCTGTGTTGGCCCTGCTCCCTGCAGCATCCCCACCCTTTTAATGTAGCTTCACTGTGMGAAAATGGGTGAAAGGAGTGGATATGCATGATCAGGCAATTCCTTTCAAACTGATGTGTTGGTTCCCATGGTTGCAGATATCTCATCTCGAAAGGTCAGTGGAACAAATGCTGCATGCACCATGAGCATTTTGACCTCTTAAGTCTGTCAGATGAAGAGGGTTTTTATTTTAATAATAGAGGCTAAAGCCTGTGAAGCCCAAGAATGAAGCTTCACTGAGCAAATCAATAAATGAAGACATTAAAATCAATAAATGAAGAAATTACCAGACTTATGAAGGGCTGAGAAAACCCTGCTCTGAAGAAATATTGAAGTAGGCTGTGCTCTTTGCTAGTTGCCACTTCTGGAGGGCAGAGATACGCAGGGAACATCCTCTTTCTAGAGGTCTGAAAAGGATTTAACTGGAGCTTCTGCACCTCAAATACCATGGTGTATGAGCGAGGGATGGGATGAAAACATGTCATGTCCCTCCTTGCGCATTCTGTGCTGTGCTTTGACCCTTTGAGGAGAAGAGATGAAGCATTCTCTGTCCTTTCTGACAGCTCCTACTGTGTTGGTGTGGCTCTTACTTGGTGTGCACAACAGGGTTTGGTGCTGGCGCTGTGGCTGCCCTGCCGGGTGAGGCTTCGCTTCTTTTGCCTCTGTCTGAGCACGAGGTAAATCCGCACATAGAGCAGCAGGGTCACCACGAAGGGGAGGTAGAAGGAGACCAGAGAGGAGTAGATGATGAAACTAGGGTTGGATATGGAACAGACACTGGGGTCCCCTGGGGAGGAGAAGAGAGAGAGAGGAGCGGCTGAGCTGCTTCAGTTCAGTACAGGGAGGCTCTGGTGTGTTGGCAAAGTGAGTCAAAACGTGCTGGGGGCAAAGGCTCTCTAAGGAGTGCAGACTGTGCTGTGGCTTGCCCACTTACCTAAAGAGGCTTAAAATGAGCCCAGCACACGGCCATCTAGCATTAGCCAGCATGCATCTGCCTGCTTTTCTGGCCAACAGCTTTGCTCTCTTCTCTCATGTCTCTTCCTGTCCTTTCTCAGAGGATCCTTGCCCCTCATCTTTTCTCCTATTCCTTTAATAGCTTCTGAGCTGTCTAGATGCAGAGTGTGCATTCACCCCTATCTGTCTAGACCAGGCAGAGAGAGGCAGCAGAATTTCTCAACCCCACCCATTCGTGCTTCCAGCACTGCACTGATGGATGGGAGCAGAGGCTTCTGCCTGTGGCTCAGTGGGGAGGAAGGCTCCCCTGCTCCTCTGCCTCTGGAGAGACTAGTTGCCCTAGCTGAGGGAAAGGAAAAAGACCAACCTGCTTCCAGGGTAGAGGCTAAATTGTTAGCCCTCCTCAAGGAATTAGTTAAGGAAATAGACAGCCAGTTGGATGGGAAGGAGGTTTCTAACAAGCAATGCAATCCTGGCTGTGTAGAAATGTGTTCTGTTTAAGAGTCAAAACTGTGTGTCTGAACCTGTTGATATCAGCAAGATGCCTTTAGGTCTGGTGTGTGAGTGTGTTGTATGTGCAGCACGTTTTGCTGTGTGCTCAGAGTGATTGGTTGATGGGAACCTGAAGACCTGGACACCTTGATGGGCATTGATTTGGCAGCAGAGCAGGCAGGTTTGCCCTTTAGAGCAATAGTSAGTGTCTGTCGGAGCAAATGGCAAGTTTATAGACAAGAGCACAYGGGGATTTTTTCTCTCCTTTCATTGTGTGCTTTCCAGTTCCTTAAAATTTCCTGTAACCTGGCAAATCTGCAGGACCCACATTAAATGATCTGGCCATACAGGCCAGCTCCATTTCCARCCCCTCCTGAGTGCTGTTGTTCAGGATATCACCTACCTGTAGTGTTGAAGCCAAAGAGGAGAGGGCATGACACTGCAAATGCCAGCATCCAGACTATCACAATCATGAGAGAGACCCTCCTGCAGGAGCTCTGCCCAGTGCTGTACTGGTACTGAACTGGTTTCACCACTGCGGTGTATCTGCAGACCAAACCAGCTCCGGGAAGAGGAGAGGGAGGAATGGAGGGAGGAAAAGGACCAGGTTTTTAAAAAGAGAAATGAAAGGAACATAGGGAACGTGATGGTGAATGTGGTGAGGAATTGGAAGAGGAAAGTAGAGAAGATCAGACGATGGGATGAGCAGTTTGTAGGAATGGTAAGTGGGGCATTGCAGAGAGGAACAGACAAAATCAAGAGTTAGTAGGCAGCAGTGCAGAGAAATGCTCGGCAGAACTCACAGCATGTGAAGCGATAAGGTTTGGAATASCAGATGGATCTAGAAACCCCAGGAAACCCATAACCCTCATGTCCCCTAAAGTTACATGGGCACTGCTGAGGAAGAACACTCTCTGGAGCAGTCACAATGTGCTAAACTCTGTCTTAGCTGCCAGGTCTGGTGTCAGCCTGACAGATTGCCCAGGGGCAGAGGATTGCCCAGGGGCAGGTGTCAAGGACCTTCAGCTGCTGGGGTGCCCCAGGAGATGAAGCTCCACAGGGTTAGGATTGAGAAGGCACAGGAGTCTCATCTTTGGGAGAGCCTGGGGGTTGTTCCTTGAAGACAGAGCCAAACTGAAATGGGAACACAGCTTCCCGTGGAAGAACACTGGACCAACCCAACATTGAGAACTGCCTTGCATTATTACTCTTGAACTACACACTACAAAGGTACAGCATCCAGTATTTTTCCCTTTTCCTGCTCCTTGGTCCCAGTAGCACCACATGTCCCAAGGTCTTGGCTCCCAGCCCTCAAGGTTGCTTAAAATAGGCTCAGTTTTAAAATGCAGAAAACCAGAGCAAAGCTCAAGATTACAGAGCAATTATCTTCATCTCTCCCCATGAATATGGCAGCATTTTATTTATTAAAGGCTTCAAGAGTGAGATCTCCAGAAGGAAAAACCCTCTTTGAGACTYAGTTGGAATTGGATGACCAATTCTGATTCCTGCCTTCAAAAAGGCTTGAGGATGTGGSTGACTACCTGCTGGGGGTGTTTTATTGCTCATGTATCCCTGCCCTTCCAGCACCGTGTGAGCAGAGCCACATCAGCAGTGCTAGTGGCAGGGACAGACTTACAGGGAGGTTTGTGATCCTGAGGACACTCATAATGTCTGTGCACACCCCACTCCTTGTCCCTGCCATGCTGGGGCACAGGGCCCACCCCCATATCCAGACCATCCCCCTGGGTGCTGCTGTGTGTCACCTGTCGATGCTGATGGCGCAGAGGTTCAGAATGCTGGCCGTGCACATCATCACATCCATGGTGACAAAGATGTCGCAGCAGATCCGGCTGAATGTCCAGACCCCTCCGGTCACCTGCACCAGCAACACACAACCATCAGCCTTGTTCTGCACTGAGTCCTGACCAGTGACGTGTCTGGAGGTGCTCTCCTCCAAGTRTCTCMACAGCTGGAGGAGTTCATGTCCACAGTGATGGGCAGAGGGAAACTGAGGCACCTGTGTTGTGTGCAGGATACAGCAATAGGTCGTGGAGAAGGASCCTCACTTTAATTTCAATCCTTTATTTGCTTTTGCAGAGGGAGGGAGAGGGAGAGAATAAACAGCAACTATCCCTTCTCTCAAGGCCTGGCATGATAAATTGATTTAAATTTGATATTGCTGTATTTATCCTTTGATTAATGATTATTTGAGAAAATCTAAGGGCTGAAAGTCTTTCTCAGCTTAGCTTCCAGAGTGCTCTTGCAGGCAGTGAGCTGGAAAAGTGCTGCAAATTCTTTGCATTTATGTATGAAACAGATCTGAGACCGAGGCTTCTCAAAAACCTTATTTGAATTCTTATCTCAATTACAGATTTTGATTATTAGATCTGAGTGAGAGCTCAGAGGATATTCAGATAAAGGGGCTTGGGTTGCCAYGAAACTGTTGGTGTTGGTTGTTTTGAATTTTTAATCTGAAGCATGGGGTTGTGAAAGCTCAGCTGCAGCCAGTCTTAGTGATGGAGAAAAGTGGGTTTTGGACCAGCCACCAAGTTYTTGTCCACTGAACTTGGTCGACAATGATATGCTCCAACCTCTGTGTGGCCCTGCTGTCCTTGGGATTGGGGTGACAGCCTGACCCTGAGGGAGATGACTGGCCTCTCCTTGTAGGAGATGAACAAGGAGCAGCCTCCCCTCTAACTGCAAAAACAAACCCAATGCTGTGCAGAATGGGGAAGGGGTGTAGGAAAGAAAAGGGGAGAAAAGTCTATGTTTGGGAGAGAGACATCTATGGGGTTTTAGCCTCCAGCCCCATAGATGCTGCTGTTTCAGCTGGATYCTGGAAAGTGTCAGAAATTGCCACTAGTTCCTGGTCTCTCTGCTTACATTTAGACAACATCTAGAACACTAGACCTGGTTTTGAGRCCCCAGTACAGGAAAAACATTGATAAACAGGAGCAAGTCCAGTGGGGAGCCACCAAAACAATCCATAGGGGCAGGAGCAGTTGTGAGGACCAGTTAAGGGAACAGGACTTGTTCAGCCTGGWAAATAGATGGCTTTGAGGGGTGGGAGACTGAACAGCCCTCTAGTGCCTGGTGGGAGGTTTTTGAGAGAGCTGGAGGCAGGTTTTCACAGCAGCTTGTGGTGGGAGGTCAAGGGGCAACAGGAATGAGCTGGAAGAAAGGTGGAAAACTGGTTATGAAGGTTTTAGCACAAACTTTTCTGACCGCAAGGACAAGACATAGGGGAGCCAGTTGCTTGCTAAATCTGTGCAGGATCCATCTTTGGAGGTTTTCAAGACCCATTCAAAAACAGCCATTCCAAATCAGGCTGAGAGGGTGCCACAAGCAAGCTTGGATTCTCAGGCAGTGGGTCAACCCTGCAGCAAGGGTCAGTGCCTAGGAAGGGTGCAGAGAGAAGCACTTGTATAAATACAGAATTCACTCTGTGAGAGTTGAGAAATTTAAATGGTTTTGATAGTGGCAGTATTCCCACATATGGGAATAYCTGCTGAGAAACCTGCTGAGGTGAGCTGTGTCTTTAGGGTGTTCTCTGCTGGGCCCAGCTGCTACATTTCAGAAATAAGGTATTGAGTGAGGCAGTCTTCCATTAGGCCTCTGACCCTGAATGAATGCAGGGGAAGGAAATGGGAATTGGCTTGCAGAATGCAGAAGGGAACTGTGTTTTCCTCTCTAGTTCTCTTGATACTGGTGGTGCTCTTTTGTTTTCTCATGAAAAAGTAAGAAAGCGGGAAGAGGAAAATCAAAACTGTTGAGCTTTTCTGCACAGTTAGGTGAGCTACAAAATGTGCAAACTGAAAGCTGTCCATCTGAAATTAGGGACATTAATAGGTAGGTTTAGCTTCCAAAGAAATGCTACACTGGTTCTACTTTAGTTTCAGATTTTGAGACCCACTTGACTACCTTAAAAGATATTAAAAAAAAAAAAAAGAAAATGGTGGAAGCCTTTGCAGTGGGACTCAGTAAGGGATGTTTCTGCAGTTTGAGGCAAAAAGCAATGTACTTTCTGTGTGAGCTGTGGAGTCTGAAGAATATTTCACCCAGCCAGTGGCAGGTGTTCACATGAAAGCCAGCTGCTGCTAACCCAGCAGATGAACAAGCACTTAACTGAGGGAGTTTCCAAGATCCTGAGCATGTTCAAATGCTGAGCTCAAGAATGTGAAGTATTAAAACTGAAGAAGATGCTGGTGGGGATAGCTCAGAAGTGAGCCCTCTCAGGATGGTGCATTCAGATCACACCACCTGCACACTGGAGTGCTGCTCGTGTAAGAGGATGCTCGACAGATCAAAATGTTTGGGCTTAAAACCCATCCTCACTTCCACCTGCCACTTCTAAAATGGGAAGTAGCTCTGCTGAAGTTGGTGAAGTAGTTAATATTTACCTGTGGGGSATATGAACACAGAATTTATTCCATAAATTAGCAGTGACGAAGAGCCTTTTTATTATATGCCTTGTTCATAATTTTAAAAATTCTATTTCTGCTCTTCCTTTTATTGGTCTGTTCTAATCATCTTTGCTACAGCAGCTAGAWCCTGCTATTCTGCATTTCTGGTTTTTATGTGCTGGCAGGGTACCTCTTCTTTATCCCTTTGGTGCTTTTTGTCCAGGAATCTMAAAGGACACCCCAGGTATTAATTGAATGAATCCTTATATCTGCCTGGATGAGGTGGATGGTCAAATATTATTCTCTTACAGCTGATGAAAGCAAACCACAGAGAGATGAGGTGATAAATCTCTCATTACCACTCAGTGACTGTACAGCAGAAGYGGGAATAGTGTCCAGGATAAAATCCTGGCTCTGTTAAAGACACTGCTAAAACTCCCTATAGACAATTCAGATCAGGTTCTCACCTCATCTTCAGTGATGACCAGTCTGTTTTATCTACAAAATTGTATTATTATTATTTTTAACTTCTAAACTCTACAGGAAGCTTTCCAGTTTATTGAATGCACAATGATTATTTGTTAAACTTAATGCATATCCACCACTCTCCTTAATTCTTAAACAACAGAATCTCCACAATTCAGCTATGATGGCGATGCCACATTGTGTAACACGTGGATGGAAAAGTAGAAAACCAGATTGCATCAGGCAATGATAGGCATGAAAGTAGTGAGGCATCTAAGCAGGCTCACTGAGGGTTTGTGTTTGAGAGCTGCTGCTTGGGGGTGCTRTTGGCTGCTGCAGCTCCTGGGTTTGCACAGGAGGAGTTCAGAGAGCACTCGTGTGGTCAGGGCTGGTGAGCTGCAGTAACTCTGCTCTGCCCTCCCTCTGACACCCCTGGAGCTAGTGGAGCTTCTGGAGCTCACAGAGCAGCTTAGATCCCACTGCTCCTGTGTGACAGACACAGATGAGGACAGAGTGTGACTCCCACCTGGTCTCAGCAGATTAGACCTCAGTGACAACCTTCTCCCAAAGCCTTCATCCCCTTTGGAGGTGGAACAAGATGTTGTGAGAAGACTGAGGAGGATGTTCACCATGCTGCCACCTGTGCCCCTCCATTTATGCAATGACTACAAGGCATGATGGTGTTTAATGCCAYCAAACTCCAGTGAACAGGACACCTTAATGCCACTGTCCTGGAAACCTCAGTGAGCTTCAGCAGCCACAGCACCAGAGGGGCAGCACTATTTGTGTGTTAGACCTATCCAGTGGCCCCCAGAAGATTGCTAGGCACACTGCTAAATATCCCTTCAGTGACAGAAACCTCATTAGGTGGAGATGAGGATTTTGAGGCTATAAAATGTTCCTACTGCAGCTCTGTCACAGYCTTCCCAAAAGATTTCTCAGAAAGAGACAGTTCTGGTCTGCATGATTGATAAAATAACACATTTCATGGCCACAGATGACTCTAAAAACAGAGTGTAAAGARTAAACTTCACAAGCAACATTTAAAGCTGAGGCATTCATCTACCTTTAACTGCTCCATAAMTAAGGGCCAGTTCTCAAAAGTCTGGTTTGACAAACCTTCAGCAGATGAATAGGTATTGCACATAGYTGTGGGGACTGAGTGTTTTTTTGGCAATTTCCAGTCTCATAGTGTATTGAAGCATGATGTCATTTCTGCTTCATTGGTAGCATCGCTGATCCATAAACAGCAGCAAATATTGAAAAAACTTYGGGGCTTTTTGGGCTGTTTTTAAAATCTTAGTCTTGCTGGAGTCCTACAGCCCAGTTCTATAGGAAATACTGTGCAGTGCCAGGAGTGGTAATCTGRGTTTGGGATGTGTATGGGTTCTTTTTGCTGTTGCTTTGGATGATTCTTGCATCAGCTACTTTGATTATCCAAGCTCCACAGACGGAAATTAGTCTTGAATGGGTCTACAAACACAACTGGGGAATGGACTTACTGTCGTGCTCACAAATCATAACCAAGGCACTGGATGGGGGCAGAGGCTGCTCCACAGATGTGCCTCAGTCCCACCCTGTCCACAGCAACAGTGAGTGCCAAGTATTTTCTAAAGCAAAGCATAATGCGATTTCATTAAGGACYGGAATGCACTTGAGCTAACAGACTATTACAGTCTGAAATAAAATTRGACTTTTAATAATATTTTTTAGTTGCCATCAAATTGAAGAGCCTAATTCTGTCTTGCTGGGATRGCTTCCCACACACACACATACACACACACCCTCTTACTCCTTTCTCTTTAATCATTCAGTGTAACACACCCCGGCAGTACTCATCCTGCAGGACAGCTCCAGTGCTGTTCCACACAGACCAGACTAAATGCTGCTMCTGACTTCATGAGGAACATGACCACACATGCAGTGGTGTGGTTAAACTCTGTTAATCATTCCTAAGAGCGACTCACCTCCAGGTACACCATCCATGGCATCACCAAGGTAGCCACCAGCAAATCTGCCACAGCCAGGCTCACCACCAGGTAGTTGGTCGTGGTTTGCAAGGTGCGTTCCCTCAGCACAGCCAGGCAGACCAGCACGTTGCCAAAGATGATGGCCAGAATCAAGATGCAGTAGCAGAGGGCATAGTAGGCRTGGGAGTGGGGCAGCTGAGGTTCCGTGGTGCTGTTTGCCCCACAGGGAATGGGGTCTGTGGCATTAGGATGGCTGCTGGCTCTGGTGAAGAGGGCCATGGGGCTGCCACTGCAAAGGGAAACAAAGAGAAGATTGAAAATCAGAGCTCTGCAATAATTGTGGAGAACAGTACCTCCTGTGGGTGCTGCTATGATTTTTATTCTTTCCTTATGAATTCTCCTTCTAGCCAATCAGAGACATCTTTTTTTTCTGCTCATATGCAGGCAGAGCTTTGCTTAAAGACTTGCTGGGCCTGTTCTGTTTTTCACTGAATCTAAGCCAAGAGAAGAATGCAAGATTTCACCTCCCTGTGTGCATGTGAAAGATGGATCTTACCAACCRATGCGGCTGTTTGGAAAGTGGGCAACGGTTCTGAGATGCACCAAAGTCACACCACAGTACAAGTCAGCTGGGCAAGAGTGCAGTCTGAAAGACAACAATTTGAAATTATGAGAAAGACCCAACACAGTTGCCCAAACAAACTAGGGCTTGGCCAAAATTGGGAACTTGTATCTTTTCTTCTGCGAAGTAACCTCTTCCTTCTCTCTTCAAAAAATGTCTTCAATAACTTCACACACTTGAGTGCTTGGCAGCCTGGCAGAGCCTCTCGATCCCTGGCTGCCTGGTAGCAAGCACCACCTCCAGAATTCCTCCTTTCCTGCAGCATGTTTCTGTCCCGAGCCCTGCCTGCCTTGTAAAGGGTTGRCTGCTGGTGCTGTTCCCATTTCATCCATCGTGTGCTCTGTGTTCTCCATGCCTGGCCAGATGATGTGCTTCCTGTGCTAAAAAGCAAACCAGCTTGATGTTTGGGATGAAATAATGGAAAGATGCTTGCAGGGTACTCTGCATTTCTTTTTCTTGCAATAGATTCAAGTCTGTTCTCAGTAACCTACCCTTTCATGATTTAGGTGGAGGATTTTTTTCCCAGAAATATGAAAGCTGCTGTCCCAAGGTTGTTCCATGACATTTAATGGCTTGTATCTTTTTTTCTTTTGCTAYTGCTCCTGTTGCTGAACTCATCACCAGTGTGACAGGTATGAAAGGCAAAGACAAAACATTGCAATGCCACTGATATAAATATTACTGAGTTTCACCTCACTCCTTGAACAGCAGCATCTGTGATGCACAGCTGCTGCACAGCTACATTCCTGGAAGAGTAGCTGTCCAATAGGTATAAATTGTTCCAGCTGTTTGGGATAGACTCGTCCTTAAACCTGGTGCCACTCTCCCCTGACGTTCTGTAGCTGGGAGAGCACAAGGGCTGAATGAGATGGAAACCGAACCTCCCTATGTCCTGTGGACACAGATCCCTGAGGACAGGGGTGCAACAATCTCATATGGCATGTGCTTTGTTTGAAAGGGCCTGTGCTTGTCTCCTCTATCTTTCTGCCTGACCCTGACAAAGGAGTTAAGCCTTCCACTGGATTACAAGGATCTCTTGTAGCATGAGTGCTGCTGCTGAGTTCAGGACTGCTCATAGAACAGCTGAGCTGCAGYCACCCAAAGACAGGATTCATTTTGCT